ACTTCAGTGTCTGGTGACAAGTGGAGGCCACTCCATTGAATTGTGCCAACAACGGTCGCCCAAGTATCACGTTATATGGCGACGGACAATCCACAATCCCAAACTCCACCGCATGAGTCACACTATGCACTTCATCTCCAAGGGTCACGGGAAGGCGCACGCGCCCAATAACTTGCGCGGGCGCCCCCGAGAATCCGACCAACACGGAACTCGAGGGACGCACCAACTCGGGCGCCAGTTGCATGCGCTCGAATGTGCTTTTGAAGAGCACATCCATCGAACTGCCGGTGTCTACCAGCATTCTCTTCACCTTACATCCTGCTATTACTCCCTGTATCTCCAGAGCCTCCTCCGATGGGACTTGACATGCTTCATCAGGCTCTTGATTGAAGTGGATATGCACAGCCGCCCTTGCTTCCAATGAGGCGGACCTTAGGCGCCTCGATCTATCTAGCTTCTCCCTTAAGTCGAGGGTACCGGTTATGGATTCAACCGTGAGCCGAACTCGCCTAGGCTCGCCTTCTTGGTCTACCTCGAACGGGGGCGGCGGTACCTCGGGCTCCTGTTGGATTTCTCGCCTTTCCTCCATCCTCTGCTTCCCTCGGCCTTGGGGCGCCCCTGGGACCTCTCGGACTTCAGGCTCCCGCTGTATCGTTGGGACCCCTGGCGCCTGTCTTGCGACATACGTCCGGTGAGTTCTTTCCTCTGCCCTCCTTACGAAATCGTTGAGCATGCCTTTGTCCGCCAAGGTTTGAAGTTCAGCCTTAAGTTGATAGCAATCAGCCGTATAGTGCCCCTTATCCCGATGGAAGTCGCAGTATCTGTCAAGGTTTTTCTCGTTGGGTTGTCCTCGCATGGGTCCCGGCCAGCGAATGTGATAGCCCCTATCCTTCACATACTGCAACACATTTTTGAGCGTGTCATTGTACTCCGTGAAGTTTGCAGCACTCCTAGGCACGGGGCGTGGTGCCTCTGGCCTCCTTGGTAGACCAAATCCTCCAGACGAGGGTCGGGGCGCCTGTCTTACTTCTATTTCATCGCCTCTCAGGCGCCTCTTTTCAGCCCTTCGCGCTGCCAACGTTTCTTCCAGCATGATCACTTTTTGCACCCTTCTGTCCAAGTCTTCAGTGGATAGCACATCTCGCTTCGAAAGGACCCTGCAGAGCTCCTCACTCGAGGTGCATGCGTCCAAGCAGACTCCTAACACCGTCGGCTGCACATCTTTGACGGCCATGGCCACCGAGATCCACCGGTCGTAAAATTCCCGGAGCGCCTCCCCCTCCCTCTGCTTCACCTTGAACAAGGCGCCTATGGTCAACGTCCGCCGTTTCCTACTTGCGAACTTGGATAAGAACAACTCCGCAAATTGCTCAAAACACTCTATGCGCCCCTCTTCAATTTGGTGGTACCAATCCAATACGACGCCCGCAAACGTGGATGGGAACACCTTGCATAGCGTGGCATCCGAGCTGTTGTATAGCTGCATCTTCGTGAAATAGCTGTTCAGGTGATCTTCCGGGTCGGCAACCCCATCATAGCTCGGTAGAGGAGGGATCGTGGATCCCGTTGGTTCCAGAAGGATATTTCGCGCGAGGGGTTGACGGACGCCGAATCGCTTAGCCACTCTCCTGGGCGCCCACATGTCATCCTGACCGGCTGACGTATGTTCGTTGGGTAGTCGCCAGGCGCGCGGGCGCCCAGGTATGTCATGCCCCATATCAGTGCGATGGGGGAGCCCGAATTGCAGGGACTCCGAATCTTCCCCGGTCCTTTCTCGTTTTCGTGCCACTGGGCTATACACCATTGCCTCCTCGCTTCGATCTCCTTCCAACTCCCTTTTGAGCGCCGCTATAGCCCGGTCTTGATCAGCTATGATTCGGAATAGCTCTCCCTTCGTCAAGGTCTCTCCCCCCTCAGTCGATAGGCGCTCAGGACTCCCTTGCTCGTCAACATCCATGCTCAACTCGTGACTTGGTTGGCGCTCCCCTTCTTCCTGACTCGAGCTTCCCGACTTCGAGTTGTCCCCCCCTTCGATGCCTTCGTTCATTCCTTCCATGCGTCCTAGTCAAGCGCCCCCCTTCCTGGCGCGCCAATTGTTTGTGCCAACGTGCCCCCCGGCCCAATTCTCCGACGCACCGTTGAGCCGCTCCCTTCTGGGCGCCTAAACCCTGCACCAACAAGCGCCTAGGGGCTTTCGGTTGCCCGTTAGCACTCCGATGCCTAAGTCAGTGACAAGTCTAGAGAGATAAGTGTTGAGTGAGATTTCTAGTGAGAGAAGCCAACCTGCTTAAATGCTACCTACCGGGTACTATTTATACTCGACGAGGTCCAGACCGGGCTCCTGGAACTCAGCTCCACGTCAGCCTTCATTAAATGCTTGGTACGGCCCAACGGTCGGGCGCTCGTACGTGGCGACCTCTGCCTGGGCGCTTGCAGGGACCACCTTGCCAGGTGGCGCATTCTCAGTTCACCGGTCTCCCTAGGAGCCTGGTCCCCGCCCTACTTTTGTCGCTATGCGCCTGGCTGTCTTTTAATGGGCTCAACTTGCACTCTTCATCCTCTTCTTATAATTCTGATATGGGCTTTGGGCCCATGCAGCTCTCTGCCAGCCTACGTTCCCTAATGGACCATTCACGTTCTCAAGTCTTAGTCGACCTCCCGGGCCTGTTCCTCCATGCCCTCTTATGCGCTTGGGCCTGGGCGCCCGGTAGCCCAATATTTGTCTTCCAACAGTTAACTTGTCCCCCAACAAAACCAATAAAAACAAGTACGAAGAATAAAGAAATGGTTATAATCTCAATTCTTAGATCGAGTCCCACTTAAAATCAATGAGTCAAATCTAATTATGTTTTGGTGTCACTAGTAACGGAAACCTGAAAACTAATCTGAATGAAACATGAATGATGATGGATTGTGTGAAATTAAAAATGGTTGCTGTGCTTGAAAAGCAGTTTCTATATATTTTGATCGATTGTTCTTATTTTGATTTGTTCCTTAAGCTAACACTTCGAATATCTCGATGCATGCTGATGCTTAGTAAGTATTGCATTGCATTTTTAACTTCTGGGATTTCCCCCTGCCATCTGTAATTTTAATTTCTATTTTTGAAGACTACTCATGTTGAGTCCTTTAATGGATAATTCATGATTGGAGGGTTTAGAGAAGGTAGACTTACGCTTACAGACAGAGACAGGGGCTTAGGTTGCATTTTAGCCATTTTTTGTTAGCAGTTAGGGTGTCTACTTATGACTATTTGTGGATGTGTGAGTAATTTTAAGGTTCAGGTTGAAATAAAATTGGTTACTAATTAGGTGACCCCAAGAACTTCAGTGTGATATTTATGTTACTGTGGGTAAGCAACTTATATCCCCTGTTTACTCCTTTTCGGTAGTCTTGAGGTTTTCTAGGTTACCATCATTTTGGATGGTATCTGCAATACATTTGTTTATTGCTTTCACTCGATTTGTTTGCAACACAAATCTCAAAGGCTGTAAAAATGCTCCGACTTTTCAAGTTTTAAGCTATGATAGTAGGCAAATTCATCATCTAATTCTCCCCATTTTTGTTTCAGTTATCTACAAAGAAAAACGATGGCTACCCAATGGATGATAGGAAATCTGGTAATTCTGAACAAGGGACGGTTCAATTGTGGATTAGAACTTCTTAATTGGAAATTGAGCAGTGTTGTTACCAGCAATTAGTTAATGAGCAAACTGAAGACATGTACTTTTTGTTTGATTTCATGCTCATGTTATTACTTAGTGAAACCTCAACTCTCAAACTGTGATGCATAATTCTACTGTTGCTTGGAAAATGATATAAAAAAGGTGAAGATTTTGTTTTAGAGACTAAATAAGGTGTGTTTGTGTGTTATCAGCTAAAAAAGTTGTTTTTGTTTTCTCTTATTGTATTAAAAATATAACACTTATCCCGGCGTATAGCGCGGGTAAGGATACTAGTTCAATTATAAAAAGTATAGTTTTAGTGTTACTATTCATTAAGAGGTTATTTTGTAAATAACCATAAGTTGAAGAATATTAATCTTGTGCGTCCATTTTGATTATATATTTTTACTTTTATTTTTATTTTCCATCTTCTCTTTTGTTTTCTTTTGTGTTTTCTCTAAATATGTGTTACTATTCATCAAATATAATTTTGTGTTCTTGTCATGAAATCAATTTATATATTCGCATTTGATATATCTTTAATCGCTTGTCTCGCTCAGACTCAATTCTTGTATAAAAACTATCAGAGTATTTTGCACGCGCTGCCAATAAAGTTATGAATTAGAAGACGACAATCTACATATTTAGAGTTCGACTACTATTAATTAGGGAATTTAAGAAGTTTATGCATTTGAAATGCAAAAGAACAAACAGCAAAAATGTATCATCTGGATTTTAAATTTATGTAATTATTTTCATTATCTAATAACAATAATAATTTTCATTATCTAATAAAAATAATCACAATTATTTTCATTATTTTTTGAAAATTCAAAATCTATTTTTTTTTTATTTCGAGTTTGGTGACGTGGCAAGTGACCTAGAGCTTGACTAACATGCAATGAAGTTGACCGTAATATATTTCTTGTTGCTTTTGAAGTTATGCTTTAAGGGTTGTATTTTGCTAAATTTTTTTATACAATACATGTACAATGATATATTCTACTCTCTGAATCGCAAACAAGCATACATATATAGTATTATTGAACAGTTAAGTTGCAATAGCTAACTAATTGAACCACAATGTATGACTAACCACATAATCACAAATCAAAGTTGAAATATAAAAATATTTAACGTTATTAAATTATCGACTAATACAAACAATAACATCACTTAAACATCATAAATTCAAACACCACAAATGAAAAGGCAAAGAAAAAAAAGTTGGGATATGATGACACAATGTTGAATTAAAAGATAATTATTTGTAGGATTAAACTCTCATCCATAATGTAATAACCCATAAATATTTGAATACGAGACCTGATTGGTCTAGAAATGCATGTTCCAATTGATAGAATTGGCCCCAAATCTGATTCTCTCAGTTGGCCTAAATGGCGAAGTGGTCATTGAATTTGTGGTGATTGTATAAACAACCAACGGACTTCTAACCACATGAACTCCATCTTTCCAGACAATGGTGCCTGACTGAATCGGTTGCTCGACCATCTTTGGGCCAGAGACTTTCACTGTAAACGTCTTCTTCTCGCCAACAGTCGAGAAAGACAATTTCTTGGGATGAACTTCCACATTGACAGAACTCGACATTTGCACAGTGACACGATAAGTGGAATTCGTGGAGGCAACATTTGTGACTGTTCTTGTGAAAGTTGCGTTGACAGACTGACCATCCTCCACTGCTACACCAAACGTTGGATAGTTCAGATCCCAGGCTCTTCCTGGGACTACCCCATCGCAGGAAGCATTGCTCTCGCCGGTGATCTGCTTTAAGGTAGAGGTGTTGTAGCCTTGCTTGCAGAGGAAATGAATGTAATCAGCTTCAGATGCATTGTAGACAAGTCCAGGATTCGTGACTGCCAATGGGTTGATATGGCCAGCACCATAGGCAAACTCATGATCATCATTCTTCCTTGGGTCCATTACATTGGCTAAGACACAGATGGATACAATATATGAAAACCAAGTTCAATGCCACTGTAGTTTTTGCAAGGATTCAATATCTGGTTATGGTTCAAACCTGTGGTCATGATTGCAGATTTGATGGCGGCAGGGGACCAATTCGGGTGGAGAGCCTTGACGTATGCTGCAACAGCACTAGCGTGAGGGCAGGACATTGATGTGCCAGAGATTACATTGAACTTCACCTTCCTTGTGTCAAATGGAGAACCAGATGGAGATGCCACCGGAGACCAAGCAGCTAGGATGTCGAGTCCGGGCGCAGTTATATCTGGCTGCTCTCCCACCAAAACGAACAAGGAGATCAGAAAGCATACTCATGACATGATGAAAACTTAGACAAAGGCATGAGATCGAGATGAACATTTGAGTGGAACTGAACTGTTCTTTCTAACTTGCCTTGAGAATCTCTGGGTTGAGACGGTTCGGTCCTCTGGAAGAAAAGGAAGCAACGTAAGGTGCCATTATATCCTTCCACGTTTCACCAACAAGTATGGTTCCAATGGGGTTCCTGTTGAACATACAGATCAGAATTGGACGGATTGACCACTTTGTTATTTGCTCAAACGCAGCTAGCAAAAAGAATAGAATGGGTCATCGAAGTTGAGTTACTCTGTTGTTCTAATGTACTCCAGAATTGCATCGCCATCTCCAGTCTTGACTTGAGTTGCGGGCAAAGGGTAAGATAAAGCAATATCGATGAGAAAAGGAATGGGGAAGGAGACGATCGCACCCAAACCATTGGCCATGACGACTCCGGTGTAGTCTCCAAGTACACTGTTACATAATACGATCTTTCCAGCTATTTTGTTTGAGTTCAGACTGCCCGGCAGGCAATTCTTGGCGTTCAATAAACCATTACCGCCGGAGTAATTTGCCACATCTCCGGCCCATACCAACGGAAACGAAGTTCCATTGAGCTTGAAGCTATTAACCGCGATGCCCTGTTTCAGCCAGGCATATAAACAAACACGTAAGCTGCAGTATGAGATGGACCACGCACGAACTATACATACATACTCATTCCTCGAGATCGAGCAGCTTACCGGGTAGATTTCTCCATTTCCAAGCACGACTTGAGAAATGAACTTGCGATCCATAGAACTAGCTGCGACGGTCAACATCCAGGGCGCCAAATTGGAAGCGGTGGCCGGCGAAGGGCCAGAGTTGCCTGCGGACGCCGAGCTCAATACACCGCGTTTCATGGCGTGGAAAGCTCCGATAGCCAACGCGTCGTCGAAGAACGGTTGCGGGTCGTCGGAACCCAGAGACATTGACAAGATGTCGACGCCGTCGGCTATGGCGTCATCGAATGCGGCGAGAATGTCGGCGTTGGAACATCCGAGCATGTCCCAGCAGACTTTGTAAACAGCGATTCTGGCATTTGGGACCCCTCCGGTGGCGGTTCCTTTGGCTAGACCGAGAAAGCTAGCGCCGTCGACCTCCCGGCCGGCGGCTGTGGAAGAAGTGTGGGTGCCGTGTCCGATGGCGTCTCTCGGGGACTTGAACTCCGTGGTGGGGTATAAGCCTTCGCTGTTGTAGTATCGGGCGCCGATGATTTTGTTGTTGCAGGTGATGTTGTGGCATTTCCCCTTCCATTTGGCCGGTGGAGGACTCATTCCCTCATCGTTGAAGCTTTCGGATTCCGGCCATATTCCTGAATCGAGAAACCCAATGACTATGTTGCCTTCTTCCTGTGGCCTAATTTTGCCAGGGGAGAAATCCATGAATTCCCATGAGTGAGTGGTATGAAGGTGAAGCTTGTGATTTGGGATCACTGAGATCACTCTCTCCATTTCTGCATCAATAACCAACCATTTTTATGATAAGAATGCATGTCAACAGACTACAATTCAATTCATAACCAGAATTCATGAAGATGGACTCTCTACTCTACTCTACTCTCTTTGGGTCCTCCTTACTTGAGAATGTATCAACTTCTGGAGGTGATAATTTGGCGGCAAAGCCATTGAAGCTCCTCCCGTAGCTGTATACTAGCGACTCCTTGGCCAATGAAGCACTGCCGTCAAGAAGTCCAAAAAGCAAATCAAAGTCGTCATTTATGGCTCTTTTCGTAAAGTAAAATTGAAGAACCGAGAAAAAATAATAAAAGATAGAATTGTTTAGGCACTGCATTGTAATTTAACCACCTTCCAAGGACATGTTCCAACATGGAAATGTGTTGACCAACCAACGAAGTTGACGTGTCTCCGCTGTGATGAGGCCGGTCTCCCATGTACACAATATGAATCTATATACACGTAGGTGAAGGAGAATTTAAACACGTAATTAGAATAAGTATATATCATATATATGTGTATTAACTACATTCTTATTCTCTATAGTCACAAATACGAACCAACTTTATTATTAATTACCTTTCTCCATTGATCAGCATTGCCCTGGCAGCAGTGCATGTTAATCACTGTTAGCAAGACGAGAATCGAAATACATCGTTGAACGCTAATAATGTTCATAGTCGAAGTAATTAAAACGTTGTTGTTTTTTTTTTCTTTCTTTTTCTTCTTCTCCTATTGTTTAGTAGTTTCTTTATGATTGGAGTTTGGGAGCTGCTGGTGCTATGGCTTCTTATAGGACTTCGGTTTAGCACTTGAAAAGAGTTCATGTTGGCTTCATGTTGTCCAAACGAGAGCATAAATGTGTATTAATCATTTGATTCACTCATTCCATGTTTTGGTCAATATTATGTTGAATTAGGCCCGAATAAACCGTCTTTAAGAAGTAAGTTCACAATAATGTGTCATCAACCAAAAGCGGCCAAAAAGGTTCAAATACGGCAATTTCCAACAAAAAACGAAAGCCCAAAAAACAGAACAATCAAACCCACTTAACAATGGTCGATGTTAATTATCTGCAAGTCGTTGACCTCGCCGTTGACTGCAAGGGCCGCGAATCCGGCAGCTCTACGGGACACCAACGTCGCTGCAAGATGAGCTTCGGTCGGGCCTAACTAATAATGCTAATCACGTCACTTAACAATGGTCGATGTTAATTATCTGCAAGTCCTTTTGGTTTTGATGATCTAGCTTGTTTCCGCTTTTAAGTTTTGACGTTCTATGTTTTCGTTGTAACTGCACGAATACAATATCGGACAACAAGTTAGCGGAATAAAATTTTGGTGTTATCTTTCTACAGCCGTGGCTTATTTATGGTGTGCTGACTGGATGGTTACAACGTTAATTAGAGTTCAACTGCATGTTAACACGTCTGTGTAGTTTTGTTACCAAAATCAATGAGCAGGTGGTCGTTCGAATGATCAATGTGAACGGTTCATCGCATGTGGTGCGGAGTTATCTTGTATGCCAGGTGTTCTGAGCTTCCTTTGTTGTATTTTACAATCATCTCGAGCCTCGTGGGTACGTACAATAGGGTCGCCCATATCGTAATTATGATTAATGATTTAAATATGCGTCTCCACTGATTAAGCTAATGGCTAGGTATACCTAATATATAATTGTAGTTGAAAAATCTCGGGACTAGTTTATGTAACCGAGATTACAAATAGTAGGTAAACCATCATGATCTGCCGGCAAAGTTGATGACGGAGGAGCTGAAACTCGCGGTGGAAGCTGGGAAGGATGAGAATAATGGATGGATAAGCAAGGAGAAGCTTCGTGAGAGGATTGAGATGGTGATGGATGGAGAGAGTGAAGTCGGAAAGCAGGTGAGGACGTACCATTTGACGTCGAGGGAAGGTTTGGTTCATGGGGACTTGATTGATCACTCTGTGGAGCGGTTTGCCAACAAGCTGATTCGGGATCTCCAAGGAGAATCTCCCTCGACTAAGGATAATCCAATTGTTTTTGGGTATTGATTTTATGTTCTAATGAGCGAGTCAGAATATAATGATATTGATATGTATGAATAATGATGAAGTGTCTGTGATTTTATTTTTGTTTTGATTCCTGAAAGCGGGTGCATGTAGTTCTTTGTTTCGTGAATTGCAGTATCAATAAAAGGAGCCAATGCTTTGCGTTGATTATGAGTCTTGATGGTTGCTGCAGTTGCGTCCGTGTTGGTTTAATGACAAGTATCACTTCTATCTACATTCTTGACAATTGACATTTTCTGTTGTGTGATTTTTAAAACATAATAATAATAATAATAATAATAATAATAATAATGTAAGAATGTTGAATACATGATAGTAGAAGTATATTAAATGTCATTTACAACTTTCATCGTTGTTTACCACTAATTACCATCCCTATATATACTAAGGTGGTAAAGTATGGTAATTTTGATCATATATTTTTTTCACATAGAAATTTTTAGATCTCATAGATAATGATAAACTCGTTCCTTCTGTGCAAATTATTTAAAAAATGACTAACAAACGAAAGAGTTACCATATGGTATGTAGTTGGTAACGAGATGTATGAAAAAAAATCTCAAAAAAATTGAAAATTGATCTCGTTTTGTAGAGTTTAACAAACTTGTTCCATCTGTACAAAAAAATTAAATTCGAACTAGAACGAAGAAGATAAGAACCGATTAAGAAAACTAGAAAAAATAAAAAAAAATTAATTCATAACACTTAAATCTGAATTTTTTGAATCCAATTTAATTTGGTGGCTGAGATTTGATTACTTATTGGTCAATAACTAGGGGTTAGTGAACGTATCCTAAGACTGTTATAACAATCAACCCATTTGTCAAACAGACAAACTATCCGGCCGAACAGAGCATAAATACTAATTGAACTATAACTATCCACACCTTAATTACTATTTTCTTAGCATGAAACGACACAAGACGAGCGATATTGATTGATCAAACAAGACGAAATTAACATCCATTCCAGAGGGTGAGATTATTTCTTTATTCAATAAAAATCAGCCAAGCTATTGGTTGATCTTTACTCTGAAATTGACAGCTAATGAAACAAGTGTAAATTGCATAGTCCAAAAAAAAAATCAGGTCAAAGTTGTATACACATATGACGAATGATTTTCAACGGATGATCATATCTTATTCGGTTTCAGTTTTCATTACCCAAAATAATGGATCAGTATATAGCATTGGCTAGAACCTTGTTTTTCTATAATGTTTAAGAATGGATAAGATTGTATAGATCATAAAATAGGAAATTGAAAAATATGATTTAGTCTAATCCAGTGGTTGAGGGAGGTTTTTAGGAGATGGTTCGTAGGATCTAACTTGGCAAAAAATGAGACAACAAATTCCTTTAATAGAAGTGTCAATCGGCGTGTTTAGGTTGTATTGTGACAAAAAAAAAAACAAAAGGATAAATTAAGAAACAAATATTTCACTATTCGATATTTATAAGTCCACAATATAAAAAAGTAAAATAAATATGTATAATCTATAAATTCATTGCATCCATCCCTCAAATCGTTTTCTCCAGCGATCCCTTACTTCGGAAAAATAAATCAGAGGATTTTGTAATAACCAATTAGTACAAAACAATTGTTAATTTTTTTTTATAATGGTGAAATAAATTAAGAGGATTAAAAGTATAAGGAAAAAAAAAAGAAAAAGAGAAAAGAGTTCAAAGAGAAAAGACAGAGATGCACAGGCGGACCAAAGGCGCAAGAAAGGTGTATGGAGACGTGCTTACTTAAAAAATGAACATAGGAATCAATGAGCCGATTATCCGGCCGATTAGAACGGACCGAGATCCATTATTGCCTGACCGCCGGCCATTCGGCCAATAACAACAACAAAAGAAGAAAGAAAGCTGAACCAACTATAACACGCGACGACGGACAAATCAACGAAATCTCCCCTCCTTAAAAGAAGACCAAAACCCTCTTCACTTCCCTCATCCCTCAACCCACAGTCCCACACATACACATACACATACACATACACAACAAAACAAAATACAATCAGTACAATACCCATGGCTGCTTCTTCATCTTCTTCCTGTGCAAAAATAGCAAAATATGGGATCGCGATGATCCTGTTGGTCGCAGTTCTGTGGAGCAGTGCCCATGGCGTGGAAGTGGCGAAGCCCCCCAAGTGCAGCGGGCGTGGAGTGAACGAAGCATACAGCAGCGACGTGAGCCAGCTGGTGCAAGATCTGCAGCAAGCGGCCAAGCCAAACAAGCCGGCCACGCTCACGGTCGGCTTAGTTACAGGGACGGCCAGCTGCCAGACCAAGAAACCAAAGGACTGCACAGGTTGTCTTGGCGTCGCCACAGTCCAGCTCGCCGTAGATTGCAAGGGAAAGGCGGTCGGCAAGTCCACCGGAGTAGGCACCCACAACTGCAAAATGAGCTTCCGCCCCGCATAAATAGTTAATCCGTTGATGCATGCATGCATGTTGGTCACGATGATGAGATGGGTCTTATTGTGTCGGGTCGCGGTTGGTTAGCTTGTTAGGTTATACGTCTCTCTCTTTTGGGTCTTGTGTTCTTTCCTTTCCTTTCTTTCTGTTACTCGTTTCTCTTAATTAATGTTCTGCTTCTTGTTTCCCTCAGCGGAAACCGGTAGTATACGTAGCTTAGTTCGTCAGTGTTGAATAATTCGACGCCAACCTATATAGCAAAAGAATGAGCTATAATATAATAATTAATTAATAGTTATGTTGTGCTACTCGATCACTTCCTTTCTTCTCGATTTATAGTTTCAGTATCACGTTCTGGTTGAAGATTAGACCACATCGGTCCTGATTTTAAATAACTAAATATCATCACTATAATTTGATTACCAATTAATTAATATGGTAGTATCTTCAAAAAAAAATTACTATGGTAGTGAGAAAAATTCAATTGAGATTCTTTCAGTAATTCAACTTCAACAACTCTGGCTCGGTAAGAAGCCCGATGGATCAGGTTAGTTTGGTTCTGATGTAGTTTTTGCAGAAACAGCTTCTGACTGGAGTTTTAATAGAAGCACTTAAAAAATTATTGAGTCTTTGGCTGAAAAACTATCAGAAGTGTTTTTTAATATAAGAGGTTATGTGAAATTACTATAAAGGAAATACGAATAAAAGTTCTAAATGATAAAAAGTAGTCAAAATGGTTTTTTTTAGATTTCTTTTATATTAAATTATATATTTTTATTTTTTATTTTATTTTTGAATGATATAAATGAAATAAATTATATTTTCTGAAATAAAATTAAAAAATGATAAGGATAATTCTGTATTTTCAAAATAGTTTTTCGAAGAAGCTCCAAATCGGATGTTCTGTTTTTATGTTATAAAAAACACTTTTCAGTTTTTTCAAAGCAGAACTTTTATAAATATTTGACTTGCTTCATCAACTTTTGAAAACGAAAAACACTTCTAAAATCAGGCCAAACTTGGCAAATGGCAAGTCTAAGCGCAGACCAACCAGAAAAGTTCTTTTGACCCAACTGACTACCATGTTGTTGGCCTTGCCCTGTTCACTTCCATTTTCGTTTCCTGTTTTCTGTTTTCATGTCATAAATTTGGCAACCGAAACGAGAAAACTTGTTTATTTTTTATTTTGTTTTCTATTCGTTTCCAACTATGAAAACAGAAAATGGCAACTTCCTGCTGTTTTCGGAAACGACAAAATGTTGTTTTCACCTGTTTCCAAAATCTGTTTTCTCAAAAACAGGAAACAGAAATGAAAGTAAACAGGTTATCACGGATATACTACAACCAGGTAAGACCAGGGGGAGATTTCGGTTCGGTTAAGCAAATCATTGACCGTAAAAGCAAAAAACAACCATTGCAATTTAAAACGTAAACCTGACGGTTAAAGGGGATTAACAATTGATGAAGCTGGTTGTCATCCTTTGACCTTTATCAATGTTTTATTCAAGGAGCGAGTTAAGCTAGGAGTACAAGTTAACCAGAGAGTCCTCCGTGTAAAATGTATGGTAATGAGTTACTATGGCCACCTTTTAAAAGGTTGTTATCGTGACTATATATATATATATATGGCTACTTCGGCGCACTCATACTCTAAAAGTGTCCATATTACATCAAATTTTGAACTTTAATTAGTACTCTCAATCTAATATGATGATATGACATAGAATCATAACAAATCAATCAATTACCCTAACCCCTTAACCTTCAATTTTGAATCCCAATCCAAAATCCCAAATTGTAAACCTAAACCCTAACCCTAAATCCCTAAATCCTAAATCCTTCAAATTAAAGTAAATTTTGAATGAATTTTTTTCAAATTCATGTGCTTCTTGTTCATAATATCATAAGCAACAATTGATACCGTTTTGACATGAATCGCATGGTTAGAATGGCAATTATGAGGCGGGTGCACTGATTGCACCCAAAAAAGTGGGTGCACCGAATACGCCACCATATATATATATATTTTACAACATCACAATCACTTCATTCCAAACCCACACAAGTGGAAGCATTACGATTACAATAATGGAGCAACAAGATCGACAATGACAATCCATTCAGGAGGAAGGAGATTGAGATAAGAGTTCTTCACAATCCAATTGGCCAAGACATTGAACCTACGGGGAACAAACTCAACCAAAATCTAAGGAGAGACACATAGACTGGAGACAACTCGAGCAAGTGAAGTCCGGCATTGCCAGGACGAAAGGCTAGGATCTTGTCTCAACGCAACTGTCAACCGCTGACTATCGGACCTGATATACGTTGGGACTGGATCCTGGGCCGCAAAGATAACTGCATTAAGAATCGCAAATGCTTCCGATTGAATCGGAAAAGAACAAAAGAATCTCTCAGTCGTTTCGTTGATTACCTGACCGCGCGTGGGAGTTAGCAATAGCAATCCCATAAGCCTCCACCTGTGCATTATCTTAAACAAGGGAACCATCGCAATGCACAACCTTACTAAAAGAATCTCTCACTCTATTTATTGTTAAACATATTATTTATTTATATTTTGTATATTTAGAGTTGGTAGTTTGAGACAAGATACTATACCCTAACATCTAATTGATGAACACATGTCTATAATTTTCTAACCCAACTCATAAAATCCATTTAATCTAAAAATATTAACCGATTGTCATATTGTTTTAATTCGAATATACCAAAATACTCCCTTGCTAAAAGAAATATATTGTAGCTGAAAATTGGAGAAGGCTAAAAAGAAAAGTGTTGTGGAGACGTACTTCCCTTAAAACCCACTAAAAAATGAACGTACTTCCATTATTGCTTGACCGCCGGCCATTCGGCCAACAACAACAAAAAAAAGAAGAAAGAAAAGCTTAACCAACTATAACACTCAGACGACGACGGAAAATCAACGAAATCTACCCTCCTTAAAAGAAGACCAAAAACCCTCTTCACTTCCCTCATCCCTCAACCCACACACAAACAAACAAACAAACAAACAAAGCACTCAATACAATATCCATGGCTTCTTCTTCTTCTTCATCATCTTCTTCCTGCGCAAAATATGGGATCGCCATGATCATGTTAGTCGCAATTCTGTGGAGCAGTAGTTACGGCGTGGAAGAGACGAAGCCCGCCAAGTGCAGCGGGCGCAGAGTGAACCAAGCGTACAGCAGCGACGTGAGCCAGCTGGTGCAATATCTGCAGCAAGCGGCCAAGCCAAACAAGCCGGCCACGAAAACGGTCGGGTCTGTTAAGGGGAAGGCCAGCTGCCAGACCAAGAAACCAAAGGACTGCACAGGTTGTCTTGGCGTCGCCACAGTCCAGCTCGCCGTAGATTGCAAGGGCAAGGCTGTCGGCAAGTCCACCGGAGTAGGCACCAAGAACTGCAGAATGAGCTTCCGTCCAGCATAAATATATAGATCCGTCGATGCATGCATGGTGGTTGGCTTGCTACTATACGTCTCTCTCTCTCTTTTGGGTCTGGTGCTTTTTTTTTTTGTTAGCCTTTTCCCCCTTAACGTTCTGCTTGTTGTTTGTTTCCCTCAGCGGAGACCGGTTAGTTTGTGTTGAATAATTTGAGCTATGATAATAATGGTTTATCCACTATAAAATAATAATAATAATAATAATAATAATAATAATAATAATAATAATAATAATAATAATGATAATAATGCATGGTTTATCCTTGTGCCACTCGATCACTTCCTTTTCGATTTATTCTTTCAGTATTAACTAATAACGTTTTGGTTGAAGATTTAGATTTTAGAGGACATGGTCCCCATATAATCCGTTTAAAAATAAATTAAATATCATCACGAGAATTTGATTAGCAATTAATTAACTAATATGGTAGTCAGAAAAATTGAGATTTTTTCCCCCAGTAATTCAACTTCACTACGAATGGCCCAACTATATATGGATTCATCATATCATCGTCTTCTACAAACTCCGGTTCAGCAAGAAGCCTAATGGCTGAGCAAACCATTATCAACGTTTTTATTCTAAAGAGCGAGTTAAACCAGGAGTACAAGTTAATCAGAGAGTCGCTCAACGTTTTATACATTGCACAAAAACTGGATTAATGTATAGTGTTAGTTATAACCCTTTTCCTAAAATATTTGAAAAGGAGAAGAGGGTGCAAAGAAATTAATACAAATCACTTATAGTCTAATCTATCAAAATGGTCCAGAGGCTACGTTATGCAACCTAAGTTTATGCCAGACAATCTCCCTACTACTTAGACAACGAAAAGAAATTAACCGATTAATAATATAACGGATGACTCAACAACAGTCACTCTTTAAAAGGAGAACAAAAATTTCGTCGTCACTCGTCATCATCATCGCTCCCTTAGTTAATCAGCTCAGTAGAATACTAAGTAGTCTATAAGATCATAGCAAAAATCCTAGCTAATAGACTAAGCAGAGTCCTCCCCAGTGTAATTTCCCAAACCCAGAATGGGTTCATTAAAGGGCGTCAAATCGCTGACAATATTCTAATCAGTCATGAGATAACTCATCATCTCAGGACCCTAACTTCAGGTCAACGAACATGGATGGCCCTAAAGCTAGATATGGAAAAAGCATATGATCGTGTGGAATGGCCTTTCCTCTTTGAAGTGATGAAGGTACTAGGGTTTGACCACAATTTCGTATCATGGATAAAAGAATGTGTCACAACGGTTTCTTATTCGGTTCTGGTAAACGGGATTCCCTCGAATTATTTCCGTCCCGCAAGAGGTCTTAGACAAGGAGATCCCTTATCGTCCCTCCTATTTGCTATCTGTACAGAAGGGTTTTCTGCAATGATAAGGCACACAATAGCAGTAGGATATCTGGAAGGAGTCAGAATCAGGACGAACTGTCCGATGGTATCCCACATCTTCTTTGCGGATGACTCTTATCTCTTCTTAGAGGCCACATCGCAGTCATGCTCAACAGTTCTTTCCCTATTCCAAGCCTATGAAGGTCTAAGCGGCCAACGAGTCAACCTGCAAAAGTCAGCTGTTATTTTCAGCCGTAATATGAATCCAGATCTAGCTGCGGCTCTAGGGGAGCAGCTAGGAGTGGGAAGCATTGGAGAACATGATTATTATTTGGGACTCCCTTCTATCATTTCAAGATCAAAAAGAGAAGCCTTCCAATTTATAGAAGAGAAGCTTGTTAAAAAGTTACAAGGTTGGAAACAGCGGGTTCTTTCTAAGGCTGGCAAAGACGTTTTGATCAGAACAGCCGCCACCAACCTTCCAGTACATGGATTGTCATGCTTCAAGATCCCTAAAGAAAACTGCAAGAGACTAAATAGTCAAGTAGCTAGATTCTGGTGGGGCTCAGCAGATAATGTGGAGCACCCAATTCATTGGGTATCCTGGAAAAGCTTATCGCATAGTAAATTTCTGGGGGGTTTAGGCTTCAGGGACTTTGGGGCTTTTAATCAAGCCTTGTTAGCAAAACAATGTTGGCGAATTTGGCAAAACCCGAACTCTCTTCTGGCTTCGATCTATAAGGGTCGGTACTTTCAGCAGGGCACAATTTTGGATGCTAGTCTTGGTTCGAACCCTTCTTGGGGTTGGCGTAGCCTTCTCTTTGGTAGAGACCTCCTTCTCCAGGGTTTAAGATGGCAGGTTGGGGATGGACATGACATTGTGGCTTTCAAAGATAAATGGGTTATGGCAGACAAACCCATTATACCGTTGGTTCGCCTCGAGAACATAACTAATTCCCCAAGAGTTTCCTTCTTCATCAAAGAAAATAGAGGCGAGTGGCATGTCCCAAGACTGCAATATTGTTTTGATCCTCTAACAGTGAACCTTATTTGTAAAATCCCGCTCCCAAGGTGCCAACAAAGGGATACGAGAGTTTGGCATTATACAAAGAATGGTTCATATACTGTCAAAACAGGATACCACCTAGCTCTTGAACTCTCCTTAGTCTCGAGCCGAAAACAACTGGTCCAAATCATTGATCCTCCTATCTGGAAGAAAACTTGGAACATGGTATCCCCCCCAAAGCTAAAGTTCTTTATCTGGCAGTGCCTTAGAGTGGTTTTACCAACGGTAGTAGCTCTCAGGTCTAGAGGAGTAAACTGTCTGAGACGTTGCCCAGTTTGCTGGAGGGGTCCGGAAAGTCTTGAACACCTGTTCTTCAAATGTCCCTTGGCCACAAGTTTGTGGTCACTCATGGGCTTAAATGATTTCATTTCCTCGGCCCCGACTGTGAATTTCAGTCTCTGGTGGCGACATGTTATGCTTTCTGAGCACCCCCAATCCCACATCCTCCTATGCGTTTGTGTATTATGGAGGATCTGGAAGTCTAGAAATAAGGTGGTTTTTGAGCATTTCCAACCTCATGCCCAGTCTCTCGCGCGTCAATGTTTTTTCCAAGTTCGTGAGCTGTCCTCTGTCCTTCCTTTGGTCCCTGCCCCTCCGCCCCAACCTTCCTCCTCCCGCTACTCGTTCTGGTCCCCGCCTCCTGATGGTTTTTTGAAGATCAACTTTGATGCTGCTGTTCGGCCTTCTGGGAGCTCGTCTGGTCTAGTCGTGCGCAGTTCAGACGGGCATGTGGCTCTGGCAGTTGGGTTTCTTCATCCTGGCATTGTTGATCCCTACCTTGCGGAGCTCCTTGCTGCTAGGGACGCCATCCTCCTTTTGGTGGCCAAATCTCTGTCTCAAGTCATCATTGAAGGGGATTCAGAGGTCGTGGTTCGTCAGCTTTGTCAAGGCGTTCTCTCAGACTCCGTTGGAGGTTCAGTGCTTCGGGATTGCGCTCTTCTCCGGTCTTCCGTCTCTGGTTCTTTAGAGTTTAGGGCAGTTCCTCGGACTGCTAACAGGGCTGCCCATAGAGTGGCGCAGAAAGCCCTGTTACTCTCCCCTTTAGAGTTGTGTACCTTTGACTTTGTAGGTTGGCTTCACTAATGTTTTGGGTTGGGCAGGGTCTTGGTAGGTTGTATAGGTTTTCTTGATATTTCTTGGAAAAAAAAAAAAAAAAAAACACAAAAGCAAAAAAGGCAATATAATGGCTTCCACTGCATCGACTTTGTTGTTCAGGCCGCGAGAAGATGTGGAGCTGGGATCATCATCCTCCTACACCTACGTACGTACTTTGTGGGATGCAATAATAATAGCAGCGTTGATGCGCTTAATCCCACGTGCGTTAGCGAGAACGTGCGTTGCTTCCTACAAAGCAAGCTAGTGCTCCAGCTGATCACTCGGCACCTTAATTACTCCAAAGTCCAAACCCCACTCGGCGACGGGCCAAGTCGGCCCCGTATCCAGGGAAGCCGGCTGCGATAGTGACGATATTGATGCTAGTAGTGATGATATCGATTGATCTTGATACGAATTAGTGAAACTTCTAACTAAGATGAATGATCTAACTATGGACATTGAAATAAACTGATTTTTATATCAACCTTCAATTCAAATTAGCAAAAGCAAGGTCTCCATTTATGACCCATGTAACAAGCTATATACCAAATAAAAAGTGTAGAACAATTACCTTGCTTATAATGACCAAGATTATGTAACTATCCAAGTAAAAAAGTGTTGAAGGGAGATGGTGCAACAAGTTGTTCGCAAAGGTTTGTTGACATATGTATATTTTGTTGTCTAGGCGATGTTGTGGTTTATTTCAGTGTAACTTGCAAATGGCAGGAATCATGGGTTGTTGGGAGTTGGGAGAAGCTCAATTATGAACTTTATATAATTTACTAACAGTTTGATTATGCCTTTTTTATTTTAAAGTTCTTCTGGATATTTTTGTCAGTTGTAATAAGGTGAAACCGGTTCAGTTAACGTAACAACCCGAATTCACCTTTTAACCGATCTAATTCCGTATCAGATTAACAAAAGTCGGATTCTAACCATTCATATCAATAACAAAATTGCTATGTTAAAAAAATAACAAAATTTTGGGCCTAATTAGACTAATCTCCATTTGTAGTAAGCGAGTATTACCGGATTTGATGCCAAGTTTAGGCAAGCAATATTGTTGGAAGCAATATAATGTCAGCCATAACATCCTTACCAAAGAATCCAACAACAGCCTATGCAACCCACAAAATTCAATTCCCATTAAAAAAAAATTCCTCCCAACACATTTCCAACTCTTCTTCCCATGAAATCAACAACAACAAAGAAATGGTGAGCCAGCAAAGGAATTCATCAGATGAACCCATTCACGATACACCACACTGCTTGGTGGTTCCATTGCCAGCCACAGGGCACATCAACCCAATGCTCCAATTCTCCAAGCGCCTCATCTCCAAACGGATCCGGGTCACCCTGGTCCTGACCCGTTTCGTATCCAAATCCATCACCGCAACCACGGCCAGGGAGGAGGAATTCAACGTCCGCCTCGACTCCATCTCCGACGGCTTCGACGACGGTGGGATGGAGGCGGCGGAGAGCACCCGCGTCTACCTGGACACGTTTCGGGAAGTGGGTTCCGGTGCTCTGTCTCGACTCATTGAGAAACAGAGCGATGCAGGGGAACCTGTGCACTGCGTCGTATACGATCATTGCATCCCGTGGTGTCTTGACGTTGCCAAGAAGTTTGGACTCGTGGGAGCCGCGTTCTTGACCCAATCCTGTGCGGTCGATACCATTTACAACCATGTCTATCAGGGGTTGATCCGGCCGCCGGTGACGGAGCAGGGGATTTTGACTTTGAGGACTCTTCCTGGTTTGCCGCCGTTGAAGTCTGAAGACTTGCCGTCTCTTGTGTCGAAATTTGGGACGTACCCTGCCATTTTCGGTGCGCTTGTGGGGCAGTTCTCGAATATCGACGAGGCCGATTGGGTTTTCTGTAATTCGGTTTACGAGCTGGAAAATGAGGTATTTTTACAATTTCGCAAACGGGAAAATTAGGCTTTGATGATTTAGGCGTTGTTATAAGAATCGAATCTAATATGTGGTTAGATTAGATCGAACTGTAAAACGAGTTATAATAATGATTTAGTTTATTTGTTTGTTCGGTTTAGGATGAAACGAATGATTTTTAACGATTCGACATGAATCAGATGATCATTCTTGTATGACTAGTTTATCATTCAAAAAATATAATTTAGCGTGAACTAAGACCACTTTTGACTGACTGGTATATTCACCCTAATTAGTAATTACCAATTTGAATTTAAAAAAAAAATATTTTTTTATAGATAGTTTGAATGATTTCTTAGAAATTTTGGTGATGGATGATATTGATTTGAAATTGTTTATGGTTAGCGATAAATTCAGTTCTAAATTAGTGTATTATTTTAGTAATAGCGCATGAAAGATTCTACCAACATTTGACAAATAATTCCATATTACAGATTAACTGTCGAATCATAAACTAGTAACTTTTTCGATTAAGCGTCTGGTTCGTTTTTGAAAAAAAAAAATTGTAATTGAAAAATTAACTTCATAATGCAGGCTGCAGATTGGCTGTCAAAAAGGTTACCGAAGTTGACGACAATCGGCCCAACCATACCGTCAATGTACTTAGACAAGCGACTGAAAGCCGACGTGGACTACGGGTTCAGCATCTTCAAGCCCAGCAACGAGCTCTGCATGAACTGGCTGGCGAACAAGCCCAATGGGTCGGTCGTTTACGTATCGTTCGGCAGCCTAGCGAGTCTGGGCCCGGCCCAAATGGAAGAGCTCTTTTCGGGATTGAACAACAGCGGCCATTACTTCCTGTGGGTGGTGAGGAAGACCGAAGAGACCAAGCTCCCCAAGAACTACTGCTTCAATCCGGAGAAAGGTTTGATCGTGTCGTGGTGCTCGCAGCTGGAAGTTCTGGCGAGTGGAGCCGTGGGGTGTTTCGTGACGCACTGCGGATGGAATTCGACGCTGGAAGGTCTGAGCCTGGGAGTGCCCATGGTGGCAATGCCGCAGTGGACTGACCAACCCACCAATGCCAAGTTCATAAGGGACGTTTGGGGGATGGGGGTGAGAGCTGAAGGTGGCGGGGATGGATTGGTGAAGAGGGAAGAGATAGAGAGATGTGTGAGGGAAGTGATGGGAGGAGAGAGAGGGGAAGAGATTAGGAGAAATGGTGACAAGTGGAAGAATGTGATGAAAGATGCTGTCAGTGAAGGTGGGAGTTCTGATAGATGTATCAGTCAGTTTGCTGGAAGCTTGATCAATCAAGTTTTGAAGAGTTAGAGAATGTTGTGTTGTGGTGTTCTTTTAATTGGAATATGGAAAAATCAAAACATAGCATAGTTGTAGGCTGAAGTTGAGAGCAGTTTTACCATTGGAAGTGTGATTACTGTGCACTCTGGAAGCTATCTAAAGCAGCACTTAGTCAAGCTATTATTCTTCTATAATATTTGATAATGCAGTGACTCTAAGATAAAATTATTCCCATAAATAAATTTCGAGGATGTCGGGGAGTTATTTTTACTTCCACCTATTAAGTTAATTTATGTATAATAAACATGACCTAATTTCCAATTTGTATGATTGATATGATAAGAGAATTGTTTTATTATATTTGTAATATTTGACTCCCTATTAATCATGATAATAAGATTAGCTTATTGATTGATGAAATCGCCTGATTTCTTTTCTACTCATGTTTGTTCTGTTTATTATGCTATTCAGGTCACTCGTAAATGGGAAGAGACTAGAGAGTAACAGAGGTTTCTTGCTGCTGATTTTATATTATCTTTATCGCATATCTTTGGAAAGTAAGGACAATACAGTTCAAACTTCTATTATTACGATTGTGACAAGAAACACAACTCTGTCATGCCATATAAAATGAAATTTGAATATATAAATCGTCGCGTTTACCTCATCAGTCAACATAATCTCTTATTCTACCCAAAAAAAAAAAACCTATTCTCTTACTTTTTTGGGTAAACAGTCAACATGGTCTACTGGAATGGGTAGGGTACCAGATTTGGATTCAGATTCCAACTATTGGTTAGGGAAGATACTTTAATGAGGGGAAAAGATGGAATTGGTTTTGTATCTGTATATTGAATAGTTTAAAAAAAAAAAACAAAGCATTAGATTTATATAATTAAATTCGATTAATCTGGCTCATAACGTGATGAACTTTTTTAGTAATAAAATACAATGTGAGATCCAGTGAAATTGTCAGATGAAACAATATAAAGAAAAAGAAAGATATTCAATATTCGTGGATTGTTGCAAATACGACCAATTTAAATGGGCTAGGACTAGGAATTAGGACCAAAGCAAAACCATAAAATTCTTTACCTATATTTTGGAGTGTGTATTTGGAATTCCATTTAATACGGGCTGCGAGTGAAGTCATTGTATACGTAGAATTTTCATAGTCAAACTTAAATGATGATACCATGGATGAATAATGATTATAAAAAAAAAGTTATTAGGCACTGCAAAGCAAAGTGGAATAGTTAAACTTAAAAGATCCGGATGAAGAAATTCCTAATTTTTCGTATTGAACAACGAATACTATATGGTTGAGTCATTTGGTAATGAATAATTCAACTGTGTCCTTTTGTACTAGGTAAACTAGTTTGCAAAAGAAAAAATTCATGAGTCATTTTTTTTTTATGAATGGCGAGCTATATTAATCATCAAAAAGCAAAGTTACTTTGTGGCAACACCCCCTGCCACTGAGGTAAAAAAGAACCCAGCTACTAACTATCTATAAAGAGCCAAGAACAAAGCAAACCAGAATTACATCAGAGCACTCAAAAGAATTTCCCAACCTCAGCAGCTTCACAAACAATCAGGACCTCTCCCTTCACCAATTTAATAGCATCAGCAGCACTAGGAACAGCCCCTCCAAACCTAATCGAGCATCTAGTGCGCCATATAGTACTTAACATAGATTGCCAAATCATCCTCCCAACTGCTGAATGAGGATTAGAAGATGAGAAGGAGTCCACAGCCCACTGAAGTTCATCAGGCCAGGAATTAGAGGGGACACGAACACAATGCTTGCAAAAGAGCTCAGTGAACATTTCTTTATACCTGCAACACTCAGCAAACAGATGGTTCAAAGTCTCAATCCTGCAATCACAGTAAACACAGGCAGACATCCCTTGGAAACCCCAACTCAGCATTTTATCACATGTTGAGATATACTGTTTTATAACCAGCCAGCAGAGGAATTGATTTCTAGGTATAAATGGAGTCTTCCATATCAACTTGAACCAGGGGACTGCAGGACTATGAGGCCTCAGATCCTCCCAAATCATCTTAGTGGAAAACTTCTTCATCAGTTTGCCCTTCCAGAACCCTTCACCATTCTGAACCATTAAATGCTGCTGAATGACAGCCCTTGTTTTAAGTACTTTAAGCCACAACCAGGACCCAGTTTTACATGTAGAAGTCCAAAAATCACCTCCATGCAGTCTGTACTCCCAGATCCAAGCTACCCACAAAGACCCCTGCTTGGTGAGAAGATCCCAAATATGCCTCACAATACAAGACAAATTCCAACTTTTCAAATCCCTCAAACCCAGACCACCTTCTTTTTTTGGAAATGTCAACTTCCCCCAAGATGCAACTGCTTTCTTCTTTCCTTCAGCCCCCACTCCCCACAAAAAATTGCTACACATCTTCTCTATTTCCACTACCACCCTCTTAGGCAAGATAAAGACTGCCATCCAAAACTGGACCATGCTGTATAACACAGAGAGGACCAACTGAAGTCTACCTGCATAGCTTAGGAATTTTACCCCCCAATTCTGAATCTTCTTATCAATTCTTTCCAGAAGGGGTCTACAGGCTTTAATAGTTAGCTTCCCTGGAATTAAAGGAATTCCTAAGTATCTAACTGGCAGAGACCCTAACTGGTACCCAGCCCTTACTGCCATATTCACTTGCCACTCCTTAGGTAAACCACAGCAATAGAGTTCACATTTAGCAGGGTTAGACACTAGACCAGAAAGCTCCCTGAATTGGTTAAGGACATTTTGAATGCACTGAATACCATGATTTGAACCATCCGAGAACAACAGTAAATCATCAGCAAACATCAGATGGGTCAAACCAACTCTTTTACACATAGGATGGAATGGCATCCTATTTTCCTGAACAGCTAACTTCATTAAGCAGCTAAATATTTCCATAGCAACAGCAAAAAGATAAGGAGAGAGGGGGTCTCCTTGTCTTAGACCCTTTTTAGCAGAGAAATACCCAACCATCCCACCATTGAACCCTACACTGATTTTTGGAGTAGTAAAGCACATTTTGATCCACTTAATGAAGTCTATGGGTAGATTCATAGCTTCTAACACAGTAGAAAGGAAATTCCAGTCCATGAGTCATTTTTAAATGATTCATTATTTAGCCCAAAATTTCTAACATTTCCCAAATATTAAATAATAAGATAACTATGGAGTTTAAAGCATTTAATATAAAAGCTACAAATTCATGAAAACCTATGACCATTAAGTGTAGTTTATTGCATAATCTAATATCAATTATTTCATTGTTTTTTTATACAATATCAATAATTACATTGGTGAAAAAATGTTATGTATTCGTTATTATATTTTTTTAAATTAGTATACTTATAATTTATGTTGTAAGTCAAGTAAATTTTAAGAAAAATAATTATTACTTAATTAAATAATTTATTATTAAATTTCGAGACAAAAGTATATAGAAATTTGTTATCAGGAACACAATAAATAGAGTAATTTGGCCGATCAATAACCCACCGGTTACCCACCTAAATTTTTAGAGCTAATACAATGGTGATTCTAATTCACGTCGTAGTGCTTCAATATAATCATTTTGCTTACCCTGCTTTATTGTAAACGGAGAGGGCTACTTCTCCGGTTTAGGGGGCTGCGGTCCGTCCTCCTTAGAAGATCCTAATTCACGCCGAGACAAATAAATTGGACGCTATCCATAACCATTCAATCATTTCCCCACCGTAAGCTACTAAATGGAGTAGCTATTGGCCATTTTGTGTTAGCTTGCCCTTCAGCATCAAAATTTCGCTGAAATTCTCTCCTTTTTTAATAGGAAATTTACTAGAAAATAAAAAAAAACACCCATGGTTTTAGACCATTATTACTGAGTACTGACATACCCATATGGATATTTATTTTCTTTCTAAAATTAAGAAGATTGATTGCCCCAACTTTTTGAATAGCAAACATTTGTACGGATGAGAACGGATATGAGGTCGGGTGGAATCAGATAGTGTAGATATATTATTCTATCCTAATTTGTTTGTATTTTATTTATAATAAGAATTAAGTACAAAATAAAAATTATAAAGTATTCACGATTATTTGTGAGTAATATATCTCTTTATAAACTCAATTAAAATATTTACAATCACACGTATAATAACATTACATAAGTGAAAAATACGAAAATAAATGTCTGGAATGAATAAAAGTAGTTGAAAACAATATCATGAAAATGTTATATATGTATAATAAAAATCGAATATATTAAGAAAAATGAAGATTGTTTCTAGACAAAACACATTATTATATATGTATAATAATTGGGTGTGTTCAGTTTGGATAGTCAAAAAACTATGTAAACACATTACCCGCAATATTGGAATTCAAGAGTTACCCATATCCTTAAAAAAACTTTCGAGTTGAGATTTACCATAGCCAATCAGATTGTATTCGGACGAGGTATCAATACTTGTGGATACTTCTGTCATCCCAACAATCTACATCGACAAAAATACAATTATCTAATCTTTAGTAAAATTTTGTCATCACTAGATGAAGAAGAAAAAAACTTTTTTTTTTTTTTTTTTTTTTTTGCGGTTGATAATTCTACAAGAGTAAAATGTGTTTGTAACCATCAACAATGGCACTCTATATAATCACTCAAACTCATCATATCCCCCACAAAACCATCAATGGCGAACTCAGCACACTGCTTAGTAGTCCCATTTCCAGCACAAGGCCACATCAACCCAATCCTCCAATTCTCCAAACGCCTAATCCCCAAAGGCATCCGCATCACCCTCGCCTTCACCCGCTTCATCTCCGCCACCATCACCTCCACCTCCGCCGCCGCCCCACCGGACATCCGCATCGCCACCATTTCCGACGGCTACGACGGCGGCGGGGTGGAGGCGGCGAACTTCGGAGCCTACACGGACACTTTCCGGCAAGTCGGAACCCTGACCCTCACCCAACTCATTCAGAAACAGAGTGATGCAGGGGACTCTGTTCACTGCGTCGTATACGATTCCTGCCTCCCCTGGTGCCTCGACGTCGCTAAGAGCTTCGGGCTCATGGCAGCTCCTTTCTTCACCCAATCCTGTGCGGTCGATTCCATCTACAACCATGTCCGTGACGGATTGATCGAAAGTACTCCTCTTCCTTGGCTGCCGCCGTTGGAGACTCGTGACTTGCCCTCTTTCGTCAACGATACAGGGGACAACCCTGGCGTTTTGGAGATGTTCAAGGGACAGTTTTCTAATCTCGATCAGGCCGATTGGGTTATTTGCAATACAGTCTATGAGCTGGAACAACAGGTAACCAGTAACAATCCTGTGATGATGGTCCAGTTATAATGTTGATGTTGTTAATACGTAGGATAAGATTCATTATTGAACCTTTTTCAACAATTCGCGTTATTGGAACCAATTGATTATTGTTTTTTTACAGGCTGTAGATTGGCTAACAAGGAGATGGCCTAACTTCATAACAATTGGACCAACGATACCATCAATGTACCTAGACAAGCAATTCCCCAACGACACAGACTACGGATTCAGCATCTTCAAGCCGATGAACGAAATCTGCATGAATTGGCTAGGTGACAAGCCAAAAGGGTCAGTCGTGTACGTGTCCTTCGGAAGCTTGGCCGATTTAGGAACAGAGCAAATGGTGGAACTCTGTTTCGGGTTGAAGAACAGCGGCCATTACTTCTTATGGGTAGTGAGGGAATCCGAACAGTCCAAACTACCATACGACTTCTCCTCGACAGGGGAGGAGCAAAAAGGACTGATCGTGTCGTGGTGCCCGCAGCTCCGCGTCCTGGCGAGCGGAGCTGTGGGGTGTTTTCTGACGCACTGTGGGTGGAACTCGACGTTGGAGGCGCTGAGTCTGGGAGTGGCCATGGTGGCAATGCCGCGATGGTCGGACCAGACTACCAATGCTAAGTTTATAGAGGACGAGTGGGGAGTTGGGGTGAGAGCTCGTGAAGGTGGAGGTGATGGAGTGGTGAGGAGGGAGGAGATAGAGAGGTGTGTGAGGGAAGTGATGGAGGGAAGGAGAAATGGCGGCAAGTGGAAGAATGTGGTGAAAGAAGCGGCGGGGGAAGGTGGGAGTTCTGATAGAAACGTTAGCCGATTTGCTGCTAGTTTGATTCAACTTTGAATGGGGAATGAAGTTCTAGATGATAAGTTAGTTTATTGTAGCTAAGGACAAAGTGGGAAAGAAACGTGATCCTATAGAGCCGGCCGGCGTTAGTATAAAAAGAGATGATGAGCTTTTACCCCTTTGACTGATAATTCAGTTGTTCTTTGAAGATTCAAATTTGGCTCAAACTTGGCGGCTCTGGTAGTGAATTTTTTTTTCCTCTGTGCATGTCGTCGCTGTCTTGTTAGTTTTTGTTGATTGACATCCAAGATTCTATATATGGTTCACACCAGCTGTCTGTAATGTTAATTGTTAACAAATCATGTCTTCAGCCTACTACGATGAAGAAATGGGGAATTGGAAATACAGAACAGATATGGGCCCATGTCCAAAGAAAGATTTGGATGTGAGTTGAATCATGGAGGTGGATGGAAATGGGATGGAGTAGACTAGGAGTAATGTTTTTGTTTGTAATTTGGTTTGGTTAATTTTAACAATGGTTTTTTTTAGTTTGTGATTTAGGTGGTTTAGTTTGGTTTTTCGTAATCAATCAAAACCAATTAAGCAATTAGCAATATATTTAATATTGCATGTATACATAATAATTAATAATTTGCATAATCACTCAGTCTGTCATATGTCCCTCCCATTAGGACCCATCAAAAGAACAACGCTTGTTGTGGTATCTGTATTAATGGATTTGTTCTTGTATAGTAGACAAATACATATTAACACCTAATTTCGATAAAAAAAATCAGACATTATGCTAGATGAAAACCTTAAAGATAATGGCTTTTTCAGTCTCTCATAATTGTTAAGAGATTAAGATAATTAACATATATATACTCAATTCATTAATATTATACAATTGACATGTATTTTTGTTAGGGGACTACTTCTAATGACTTTAATATTATTGTATTAGTTGCATGTATTTATGTCGATGGTTAATTATTTGTTGATTGTTATATTTTATTCATTATACAAACCACGAACTGATGCATTATAAGGAGATATTTTCTTATTCAATGGTATTGTTAAGTTATATCGGTTAATCCGGCTAATCAATCAACCAAATCAATTAAAATTTAATCTTGTTGTTGTATTAGTTATCGGTTTGGTTATTACATAGTGTTCCATGATTAGTAAAATTTAGGATTAATTGATCTGATAATTACAATACTAACAATTTGAACACGTCGATCTATACCATCATTCTTTTAGGTGACTCACTATTTTCCCCTCCATTCTGTTCGTGATACATTTTAGGGCCATGTTACTATTATTTTTAGTTTTTGTTTCTATTTTAACATGTAAAAGCGGACTAATGGAGGCTGAAAACATTTTTTTTACGAAAATCTCACTTGTATTAACAAAAACACCAAGTTAATTCTCTTTCTTGTAACTAGCTTATATCCGGCCCGTTGGCCTGTTACTATTTTGCATGTTTCGTTGTGGTTCACTCATATATGATTAACTCTTTTGCGAAAAAAACGATTTGGAAGCTTTCGGTTTGGAGTTGGCCTTCATAAGAAAAAATAACAGGAGTTGTCAACACCACAAAAATTAACCGAAAACAGTAAACAATAATAAGTAGTTTCCTCGTGTTATCAAAAGTTGTTCTTATGAAATCCTACGAGTTGTAGTAATAGTTTCATTCAAATGAGTCTACGACCAAATCTCACTAGACCCACTTTCTATATATTATTTTTCTCTCCATTTTCGCATAAATGATAAATCTTTATCGAAGCATTATTGCCAATATCATTTTTCACATATTTTCATCAAATTTCTCATCATTAGTCATGTCACACTATTCCATCCATTATTTTTCTATTATTTTCTTGCTCTCTACATTGATATTAAATGATGCTTAATGAAGTAACTAAACCGTAAACATATGAAATTGTCAAACTTCCATGATTTCTCATAATTATCAACTAAATATGTTTTTGTGTTTCATTTTCATAGTGTTCTGATTGTACATCTATTGTCACGACAGTATTTCAACCACGCAAGAGCAACAAATTGTACTAAATGGGCACTTAAATTGCTAGCCCTTTCCCCAAATGCTATTCCAATCTCCCTTCTTGTGTTTTCTTTCCATTGACTAAGGGCAAAATCCAGCTTACTCTATCATTATGGACCCTCCTCACCGATGAATAATGAACATATTTTGTTTATTGCTAGTGGACTAGTGGAGATCAGTAAAAACTTCACTAATTAGTAATTAATGTGTTAGTGGACTAGTGGCAATTTTCAATGATAATGAAAAACACCACCATTAACAAGATAGAGAAAAAAAATCAACCCTCCAAATCAATAAAACCCCATGAAAAACAGAGCATCACCGTAAGCTAATTCCATCAAAATCAAGCAAAGTAATCAATGGAGAACCATAATCAACCTTCAGAACCATCCCAAAAAAAGCCCCACTCTTTGGTGGTTCCATTCCCAGCCCAAGGCCACATCAACCCGATCCTCCAATTCTCCAAACGACTCCTCCCCAGAGGAATCCGAATCACTCTCGCCAACACCCGATTCGTCTCCAAATCCATCTCCACCGCCGACCGCCGCCGCTTCGCCGCCCTCAACATCGGCCTGGAGACAATCTCCGACGGCCACGACGAAGGCGGCGTGGCTACAGCCAAAGGCGGGAGATCCTACGTTGACACGTTCATGGATGTCGGTTCCAAAACGCTAGCTCAAGTCATTCAGAAGTTGCGAGATGCAGGGGACTCTGTACACTGCGTTATTTACGATTCTAACATCCCCTGGTGCCTCGACGTTGCGAAAGGGTTCGGGATCATGGCGGCGGAGTTCTTTACCCAATCTTGTGCGGTCGATAGTATCTATTACCGGGTTCGGGAGGGGATGATCGAGCCGCCGGTTAGTGGGGATGATGGGGTTTTGATGGGTTTTCAAGGGTTGCCGCCGTTGGAGGCCAAGGATTTTCCGTCCGACGTCTGCGACGACGGCGGGGCGTATCCGGAGCTTCTGGGGTTTCATGTGTGGCAGTTTTGTGGTATTGAGAAGGCCGATTGGATCCTCTGCAACACTGTTTATGAGCTGGAACCACAGGTTAGTAAAGTTCTCCCCCCTTTTATAAATAAAAATTAACAATAACAACTAGATTAATGTGTAATTAATTAACTAATAATTACGATTTTTTAGTGTTAGTTGAGAATTAAAAAAATTAAAATTTCATAGTACGCCGTCTGTGGGAATCGAACCCACGACCACGTGGTTAAAAGCCACGCGCTCTACCGGCTGAGCTAAGACGGCTGGATGCTAATTAAAACCATGTTAATGTTTTAATTATATTCCTGCAGTCTTATTTCATCCAAAGTTGTAAATGCATGTCACAGGAAGTGGATTGGCTATCAAATTTTCTGCCCTTCACATCAATCGGACCGACCATCCCATCCACGTACTTAACCAACCAGACCGACACAGAGTACGGGCTGGACATCTTCAAACAGCCCAACAACGAAACATGCACGAACTGGCTCCAAAACAAGCCCAAAGGATCCGTCGTGTACGTATCATTCGGCAGCATGGCAAGCCTGCCGCAAGCCCAAATGGAAGAGCTCTATTTCGGGTTGAACAACAGCAACCATAACTTCCTATGGGTGGTCAGAGAATCCGAAGTGGCCAAACTCCTAGACAGCTTCTCGACCATGGCAGCAGGGAAGAAAGGACTGATCGTGCCATGGTGTCAACAGCTCCATGTCCTGGCAAGTGGCGTCGTGGGTTGTTTCGTGACGCACTGTGGGTGGAACTCGACGCTGGAGGCAGTGAGCTTGGGAGTGCCCATGGTGGCGATGCCGCAGTGGGCGGACCAAGCTACCAATGCTAAGTATGTAACAGATGTGTGGAGAGTTGGTGTGAGAGCTCGAAGTGGTGGTGATGGTGGGGATGGATTGGTGAAGAGGGAAGAGATAGAGAGATGTGTGAGGGAAGTGATGGAAGGAGAGAAAGCGGTGGAGATTAGGAGAAATGGCGACAAGTGGAAGAAGGTGATGAAAGATGCTGTAAGTGAAGATGGGAGTTCAGACAGAAATGTGAGAGAGTTTGTTGATAGCTTGATTCGGGTATGTTTGTGGTAGCTAATGCATGTTGTGATTTGTTGTCAGTCTGGATGTTCAGAATCAAAGATAATAAAAACATCTAGGAATTTATTGGTCAAGGCCCAAGGATAATATTGAATTATTCTTTTGTTTTATGGAGGAAAAAATGAAAAGAGCTCAGCATTGCCAAGTTTCCATCAGAAGTCAGGAGTATTGCGAAAGACCACTTCGCATCGGCAAGGAGTCATCACAGCTCCGAATGCACCAGCCGGGAATCGAACCCGGGTCTGTACCGTGGCAGGGTACTATTCTACCACTAGACCATTGGTGCTATTGATGGTATGTTTCACCAACATTCAACTACTTAACAAATATGTAAAACACGAAAATAGTTATATCACATTCACAAACTAGCTTTGTACGAGACTGGTGGACAGGTTGGAATAGGGATCAAATTGACTTTTTAATATTAAGTATAGTAAAATGAAAATGATTTATTGAAAATATAATATATTTTCGTTATAATCAATAGTATAATTTATAGTTGAAAAGTAAAACTGCAACCCCATTCAAATTTTCCTGCGCATAGAGTAATTTTAGGAGTCTGAGGTGGCGGCCCATTTAAGCGGGATTTTCCATCTTTCCCCCTTTGTCGTCCACTGCAACCGCTCTACCTCGCTCTTTCTCTATCCATCTCGCAGCCGATTCCATCTCCCCCATCTCCGACTCTATACCCTCCCTCTTTCTCCCATACTGAATTCTGAAAGCTGGATTTGGGGGCGCGGATTTTAGTTTTATCGTAGAGGATCAACGTATCGTACACCGACGTCCGATTGCGGCGTCCCAATTTAAGGGAACCTGAACACTCGCAGAGCTGCCGACAATCGGAATCGGAGTGGCGGAACTGCTATGGGAGAGCAATGGAGAGAGGAGGCGGCCATGGCATAGAGGCAGATCGATGGCGAGCAAAAAACCTCTGGCTTGACGCACATCGACGAGGTCATGAAGGACAGAGGTGCAAGCCCCCTTGAAACTCGGCAGCAGCAATCAGGAAGGTGGCAGTGCTTCCTGATCTCGGATTTTCCAAAAGAGGGGGTTTGATTAAGATTTGGATTGGAAATTTGCCTTTGGAGAATGATTTTTGGGAGAAAGATTTTGGGTTCATAGGTTTCCCACATAGTTTACTTTTTTGCGCAATAATAAATTAGTACTTTTTTTTGTTTTTGGTCGGGGGCCACATACAGATTCAAGCTTCGTTCTGGCGCTGGTGTATGCATTGATGGGAAGCTCAAGAGATCTGGTGGTAGGGACGATGGTCATGGCTTCACTGCTGACGGCTTCCCTGGTGGGTAGCCGAGTTAGTGCCACCGAGAACCCCCAGTTGTATCTGCTTTGGCTTTCACGACCACCTTCTTCGCAGGATTTTTCCAAGCTGCTCTTGGCTTCTTCAGGTAAATCTTTCTTTGAACCCAAACGCACGTACATACACGACGCTCTCCTACCGTTTCTATGGTCAAAGATTTAGGTAATGTAAGTTTTCAGTACCCTACATCAAAATTTTCAAAAATGCTTTGTAATTTGTGCTTCTGCGGTTGTTTCGGTGTTGGAGGATTCTCGCCTGCTGCTAGGGTTCTTAATGATTCATTGCTGCAGTGTACCCTTTCTTTTGCTGTCTGCTTCAAATTATGGATTTTCATAAGCAGTCGGGTTAGGGTTCTCAATTGGGGCAGTGTCTTTTCACTCAATAGGGAACTGGATCACAACCTCCACTTACCGATCGCATAATCAATTGTGAAAGGAAATCCCCAAGCTTGCTGGTTCGTTCTTTTGTACACATTTTAGATCATTTTCAACTTGAAAGCCCCTTTCTCTGTACAATTGACCATCCGCATAATAGAAATGACCCTCTCTTTGTACTTTTGATTTGTTTTCTACTGCCAAATCCAATCTTGGTGCTGGCGTGTAATTTTGTTCATTGGTTGTCTTTGTTTTTAGCTCATTCACTAGAGATATCTTCATGCATCAATCTAGATTCTTATGATCAACCACACCCATCAATTTGGATATTGTTTTAGAATTAGTTGGTAAAGATTGATTTGGTTGATGTTGATGCTTTTAGTTAATCTTTTTGGAAGCTATAATGATTACCAAATTAAGCTCTCACTCAACATATGTAGGAAATTTGGGGTTTTGGGTAGGGAGTAGAAGTTGGGACTTGCCATTAGGTTTGAGAAGGGAAAAGATTGGGTAAGAAATGGTTCTGGGATTTGGTTGGTGGACCGAGTTCATTGTTTTATTACTTGTGGGTGTATACTAATGCCATTGATTAGTGGCCTTTCTTGTGTTAAAGTTTACTTTGTTATTTCGATTAGTTATTTTGGTGGGAAGTTTGAAGAGTGGGTTTAGAATTTAGAACTTCATTCAGGAGATTAAATGATTGGCCTTTTGTAAGGACAATCTTAATTTTATGCAGGAATTTCACTATGTGTAGTGACTGTATATGTAGTTTTGGAGCCTTTGGCTGAAACCATGAACAATTTTTAGGGTGACCATTGAAATTTGCACTTAAGGTGATGATGCTACAGATGCTTGAACACTTTAAGTTTAGAATTCAGCAGTTTCGGAGTATTTATTGATTTGTGAAATTGAGAATCGAGTGGAACTTCAGACCCATGGGTTGAAGACACTGAAGATGGGCAATATGTGGAGGTCAATTGTGTGTTCTTAATATTTTTGTCATTTGTCTAATCTGTATGATTATCACGATTCATAGTTCTGAACTTCTGTTTTTGCCACCATAAAAAGTAAACTTATTATCACTTTCAGTGGTGCCGACTACACTAATGAAATACATTGACGTGACATTTTTTGTGTTAACTTGTCATATTGATATTTTTGACATTTTATTCTAATTAACTTGAATAAAAAAAAAAACTCCATAAGAAGAGAAGGATAATTAATATGGACAAGCAAATGGTAACAAGACCTCTTCTTCCATACTCTTGCCTTCCTTTTCTTCTTCGTCGTATCCCATTATCAACCAAAATCAAAATCGATGTCACCTTCCATCTTGAAGCATATCGTAGTTTAATAAAAGATCATACAAACCTCATTTCTACTTACAAAATCGGTATTATCGAAGGTGAAATAGCATGCTCCAATCAACATCAGAATTGACACTGGAAAAATCCCAAACATGATACAAATCGAAGAGGCACATTTCCCTCCACAATAGCATAACAATAAATGTTAACTAATTACCACTAACATCATGATGAACAAACAACATATATAGTCATTAGAAATAATAATTGACATAATATATACTTTTTGGATTAGTAACAACTGTTATAAGTAAAAAGCTTCAACTCAGAATCAACATGCTTAACTCGAAAAATATCCCTCAATGTCCTATCTAGGGCCTCTATGTTGTGTTTATGAGTCATCGGTGCCTCATCCCAGATAATAAGTGAAGCACTGAAGGAAGAGCTCCAACTGGTACTACTGAAATCTCCAGCAGGCAAAAATCTCTTCCTCGACCGGGTATGTCTGCATGATTTAAAGAGATTTGATTTATGGAAGAGCACAACACTTTCGATTGTTTTCTATTCTCATTATTGGTGGTTTTGGCTATCTTCGTTCAGCTGAAAGGCTGCAACTCATGAACCTTTGCTCTCCCTACTCTTTGGTAGATTTTTTTTATATAATGCTACTCTTTGGTAGATGAAAAGAGTTAGATTTGTTGGTGGTGTTGGCATAAATGGGTGGATTCATGTTTCTTCCGCTTCTTTGTATGATTTTGAAAACGTTTGTAGTGACAGAAGGTTCGATCTTTATGGTTTTGGCTATCTTTATTCAACTGAAAGGCTGCAACTCATGAACCATTGTTACTTCCTGTATTGCCTTAAATAATCTAGGTTTGTGATAGACCGATAATTATACATGTTTTCACCCCTATTCTGAAGCCGTTTGTGATGAGGAATCTCGTGTTTTAAGCCGATTTCACGCTAGGTTGTGTGTTTATGTCATATTTCAGGACCCGGCATTGGAATCGAGGCGGAGAAACGAGTTCTGGGTCGAAAGGAGCGAAGTTGGGACGACGGAGGCTGTTGGACCAAATTACCCGGCCAAAGGAAGAAATACCCGACCGGGTATTTTCTGGCCTTGGTCGGGTATTTTTCCCTTCGGGCGTCCGTGAGAAGCAGAAGGGGGCCCGGGCAATTGCCTTAAATCCCCGGTCGGGGATTATGAGGATAGACCGGGGATTTTCCCCTTAGTGAAACGGCGAGTTTTGGATAATACCCGGTCGAACCCTGAAATACCCGACCGGGTATTTCGACCGGGTATCGCGATGGCAGCTGATAAAAGAGAAAGAAGGCCAATTTTCAGAGAGTTCCGAGTTTTTGAGAGAGAAAGCGATACCTAGAGAGAGAAAGCGACGAACCAGAGTTCCCAAGCGCCATAGATCGATCTTCAACACCATTGGAGCCCGGCTTGAGCTTGGAGAAGTGCGATTAAACGTCCAGGAGCAGAAATCCAACTTCACAGTATGATTTCCGCGTCTGAATCTGCTTTTGCTTCCTTCTCTATGGAGTAGTTTCCCCATTCATCTGGGTATGGGGAACCCTAGATTTGTATGCTAGGTCTGATTGTATGAACCCAAGTGCAGAGTTTGTGAATTGATTATATTCGATTGAGGTTTGAATGATTGAATGACTTGAATCCTGATCAAATTCCTGTTGTTTCTGCTTTGACCTAGAATGAGAATATCTGCCTAGGTTGATAGCGTACCCTTAATCGAAGGTGGCGAATTGGTGACTTTAGTCGAGGAGCCAATTCGCTATTCTGTACCGAAGTCAATTCGGTAGTGGAGGTTTGGTTCATTAGGGCCTCAATCTGTTTACTACGGTGGAGGTTAGTCGCCCGCTAGAGACTCAGATTGAAAGGGTCTGGAGACCTTTAGTCGAGACTTCAGGCTAATTGAGAACCTTCCGCAGTATAACTTTCATGAAAACTGAACTTGGTAAATTGCAATCTGACTTAACTGCAGTCTAGGGGGATCCATATCCGGGTGACCTCTCTTGACTTGACAACAACCGTTTACTTGCTTTGTGTTTTGTTTGCTTGAGTTGCACTAAAAGTTCACCGCTAAATAACAAGAATTCACCGAGTAGTCATCACATCTAGGACCCGGGTTGACAATAAAACCTAAACCCGCTATACTACGCTTTAGGAAGTGGTTGCACTTGGCCATTTTCTAGAGTGACAGTAGGAGTGAGTCAGTTTGCTAATAGCACTTAATCCTTCTAATGATTTCAGGTCCAAAGCAATCAATTGGAACTGCTATATTTTGCAACAATGACAAATTCTCTTTTGTACTCACCATGTATATACTGCTTCCTGTAGCTTTGATCTTTTGAACCGGAAATGGAAATATGCCCCACTTTGAATACTGACTTTAGCTAGCCTGTTATTGTTGTTTTTGCAAAGTTATCGTTAATTGTATGGAGAAACAAAGTTTGATTGATGGAAATCAGAACAATCATTATTGTTCGGAGGGGTATTACTGTCAACTAGAACCTACAGGCTACAGATCTAATTCACTTTTCCTTCTAATTTTCGCGTTTGTTTGTTCAGTTAAGCCATGACTAACTACATTAGGAGCTCCAAATAAACACAATATCTCTTCAAGTTTAGTATTTAGTATGCTTCGTCACTTAATTCTCTAATTCGGTGTTGGCTTTAATGCTAGCGTTAGTTAGTTTGAGTTACACTTACGAGTGAAGTTATCCAGATCCTGCTTAAAAAGAATGTAATGCATTGTTCTTCACTAAGATTATTCTTCACTGAGATTGCAACAAAATGAATATGAGCCTGTCGCATCCTCTTCCCATTTTAATTTATTTTATTTCCCCGCATTTTTAGTCAATTGCATCTTTTTTAAGATTTTAACGTTATTTCAAGTCGAAGACACTAAATGGATGCACGACAATAAGAAGTGCAAATGATTTTCAGAAATATAAAAAATTAAAATACACACTTTTAACGTAAGGATAACCTAATTATCAAAAATATATAGGAACTAATCATCACTAATATCACAATCAACAAGTAGCACAAAAATTATTTTTAAAACGTCAATAAATTATTTACAAAAATTCAAATCAATTGAAGATATTAACAAATTGATTAACATCAAACAACAACAATAATAATAATAAATTCCTCCGACCAACGGGTCGGGTAAAAGCTAGTTTAAAAGAAAGTGATATAATTACCTCTCTATTTTTCTTGTTTTCTACGTGATTATTTTAATTGTTATCGTAGCTAATTTATTAAAATTTTCTTGTATCATTATGTTACACAAGTAGGACTTCAGATTTACAAGCATTACTTTAGCAATCATTATATCTAATTCGTGTACATATAATACATTATAAAATCAATCGGAGTATGCTAATCTCGAGGAGTACACCAGTAGTTACAATATATTGCAAAAAAAAAAATCTAAATAACTAATATGATTTCTTTCTAGTAATGGTATTGAATGAACATTTTTGCAATGAATTATGTGAAGAACAATTTTCAAAATCAAGGATTAGTAATGAAATTATGAACAATATTTTGGTATTGTACTTTAATAGTGACATTCTCAATATAATTTACATGATGAATGTATTATGGATATATTTTATAATAATATAACACGCCATGGGTAGTAGTCATCAGACAATTTTAACTAATTTTTTGGTCATGCCACTGCTTATGGTCTGTGGAGATGTTAGGTGTATAAAGTCTCAATGTAAGATTGTGAATCTCATACTCTTGATGTTATTATTTCACACAAAACACATTAATATATTATTCTTAGTGTTTGTTATAACTCGCATTCGGTGATTGTTGCTAATTAGTTTTGGAACATCCTCCCTTCATTTTTATGAATACGTATCATTGGGTAAAACATATCGATTCTAGTCCAAACACTCGATACATCGTTAAATTTTCCCTCTTCACATAGTTATTTATTTTTATTTTCTTCGGTAATTAGTAACTTTCATTAAGCACCCTCTTTGCAAATCGCAAGAGTCGAAAAATACAGGGCGAAAACTTGCCAACAAATCATCTCCCACCTGGTAAAAGAACAAGCAAAAGAAAACTACCCTAAATCAACAATTCGGTATAAAGTAGGAACACTTTGAAGAAAAGAGAAAAATTCAGCATTGCCTTTGCTAAATAAAATAACTTCTTCCTGAAGCAAAGTCGCCAGAACCTTAGGTTGTTTAGGATTTTCGCCAAACACCTTCTGCACCTCTCCTTCCATATGAAGGAGATACACCAGCACCAGATGGAGCCTTCAATAATACGTATATTTACTGAATTTACAGAAAGAGAAAGCGGGGTTGAGTGGTGTAACACCTAAATCATTGACAATGTTGAGATTGTCATCAAACTGATATAAGAATTCCTGGTAGAAAAACGAATTTCATTTAGTTGATTCATAATTTATCTCCGGAAAACTACTCTCACTAGAATCCCTCTTTGTATAACCAAAATTAAAGCAAGGTGTAACTAAATGAATAATCTAATGCGAAGGACAAAGGCAAAAGCCATACAGAAATTATTCACCCTAACAGAACTATCAAGAAAGTGGGAAATCAATTGCAGTAAAGCTCGGACAACTAACTACAAGTCTACAAAGTGATGGAGTTGGAGATTTTCAAGGAATTGTGTTCGTTGGGTGCTAATTTATCTTGGCTTTTTTACCTTTGATATGATCTTCTACCTTGTGCAACTGAGGAATTTAAATCTTGTAAAGGAATTGAAATTAAGTTGGGTTTGTTTAAAATCGGAAAACATCTGAGAAACTGAGTTTGTTTAAATCTTTTAAACATCCATACAAGTTTCAATCAATATGTCAGACTATCAGTGATAGGGGTGGCAGCCGGTCGGTTTCGGTTTAACCGAAAATCGAAATCTCGATTTTCGGTTAAACCGAGACACGACCAAGCACTACCGACGACCGACCGTTCAAACAGCCTCGGTTAGCCGCAAACCGACCGGCCGGTTTTTGGTTTAGGTACGGTTTAACCGGGACAACCGAAAATGTGAAGGCCAGTTCGGTTTAACTGCCTAACCGACCAGTAACCGACCTCTTGTTAGATAAGATTTAAAAAATAAAAAAAAAATAAAAGAAATAAATAAACAAAATCCTAGCCACACATACCTTATCTTCTTCCTCTTCTCTCCTCTCTCTTCTACGCATAAACAAACCTCTCTCTTCTCTCCTCTCTCTTCTCTCCTCTCTCTTTTACCCAGAAACAAAGAAAAAAATCAAAACTTTCCTTATCTTCTTCCTCTTCTCTCCTCTCTCTTTTACCCAGACCAAACCTCTTCTTCTCTGATGTAGGCGGCTGGGCGACGAGGGTGGAGGCGGCAGCAGCAGAGGAATGAATGGCGGCTGGTTTACCCCTGACGGCGGCGTGGTTGAGGTGGAAGAGGGGATCGCTTAGGCAGGAAGGGCAGACCCCTCGCTTCTCCTCGTGCCCCGGGTGGTTCTTGCATGCTGTCTCCGACGACGACATTCCCATCTTCTTCCCTTTCCTTTCTTTCTTTCTGCGTAAGAATCCGATTTTTTTTATTTCGATTCTTCCTTCTTTGTTTCTTTGGTTCTTGACTGTGTGGAGGAGGAAGAAGAAATTGGGGAAACCACAATAAATTTTGGGTGGAAGGGAATTGGAATTGGAATTGGACGATTTGTTTCTTTTTTGTTTCTTTTCTTTTCTGTTGTTGTTGCTCTGCTTTGGTAGTGAGAGAGATTTATGTGGAAGTCGTTGATTTAGGGGGTGGGGAGAAGGGAATTTTCGGTGAGGGTCGGTTAGCCGGTTAGCCGCGGTTAATTATGTCCGGTTATTCGGCTAGCCGGAGTCCTCTGATACGCATCCGGTTTTCGGTTAGTCGGTTTTCGGTTATAGCCGGCGGCTAACCGCTAACCGGCAACCGATTTGCTAGCCCTAATCAGTGATAGAGCTGTGTGTATTTCACGAAGGACTATAATTTCAGGAGAACTATAATGGTCATCGATATGTAACAAACTTTGAGCGTGAATTTATTTGTCGCCACCATTTTTTTCGATGATGAAAGAGATCTATACCGGTCTTGGAAAGAGATGAGAGCAAGTAGGGTTGTGCCTTCTCCAAAAGCTGAATGTTGTTTGATAGGTATGGTTAAACCCGATAAACCTCTAAAAATTCTATTAACAGACCGTTTGGTAACAAATGAATCGAGAATTCATTTCAGTTTAAAATGAATTAATGTGTAGAATTCATTGTTAAATGAATTTCTGTGTTTGGTATGTCATGTTCCAATCTTTAAAAATAATTTAATTGAATTCTCAAAGCATGTTTGGCATCCGTTTAGAATTGAAATAAATTAAAAGTTTACAGCTACATCCTTATTAATTTTCGGCAGAAACAATATTCATTGAAAAATCTATCTTCTAAAACACGTCTTTGGTCCCATACGTAGAATATGAAAAGTGTTTCCGTATGTTTCTATTCTATTCATTAGTTCTGTTCTAATATTTCATCGATGAACTCTACATTCTAGTTGTGGCTTCTCAACATACCGATACAATCGAAGCATACATATCAAATAAGCATCATATGCTAGCACTGCAATCAAATTCTTGTCGACGTTCCTTGGCGCCATATGATATATGTAGAAGTAATTTAGTTAATAAATGAGGATACTTATGCCATTTCATTATAATTAGTAAATACTTGTGGAATTCATTTGGAAATTCCATCTCAATTCCTCGGAATTGCTATAACTAGTTCCAATTCTGATGTGGTACTTGGATTGTCCCATAACAATGCTCCCCTCAAGACAAGGACCACGAACTTCGTGTCTTCTCCTTAGCGATTATCTTGATCCACCAAACGCCTTGTATCGATGGGCTTCTCGGTACAAAGACTTTTTACCAGACGCAGAACTCTCTTTGATCTGCTTCCCAAATGCGGAACTCTCTTTGATCACGAACTTAGTGTCTTCTCCTCAGCGATTATCTTGATCTGTCAAACGCCTTGTATTGATTGGCTTCTAGGTACAATGACTTTTTACCAGACGCAGAACTCTCTTTGATCTGCTTCCCAAATGCGGAACTCTCTTTGATCCGCCAAGCCCAAATGTGGATCTCTCCTGGATCCACCAAACCAAATGCGAATCTCAAACCCCGAGGTCACCAAATGAGGGTCCCACCAAACTGATCCACCGCCCCGGATTCGCCGAACCAGGCTCTGATACCACTTGTCGAATGGGGTGCTGCTCATTAGTACGATATTGTCCGCTTTGGACCAAACCCGCACGGTTTTACTTATTGGGTGTCCTCCCCAAAAGGCCTCGCACCAATGAGCTTGGTGGACACTAATATACAAGGGTTCCTTCCCTTGTATTACCGATGTGGTACTTGGATTGTTCTCATAACAATCATCCGCTCAAGACAAGGACCACGAACTTCGTGTCCTCAACTCAGCGATTATTTTGATCTTGCCAGACACCTTGTATCGATGGGCTTCTCGCTACAAGGATTTTTCCAGACGCGGAACTCTCTTTGATCCGCCAAACAAACGTGGATCTCTTCTAGATCCACTAGACAGACGCGGACCTCCCTTGATCTGCCAAACGTGGATCTCTCGTGGATCCACAAAACCAACGTGAGTCATCTTTGACCCGCCAGACAAACGCAGATCTCAAATCTTGAGGTCACCGAATGAGGGTCCCACCAAACTGACATCCACTGCCCTGGACCAGAAACCAGGCTCTGATACCACTTGTAAAACCGGGGTGCTCAATTAGTATGATATTGTCCGATTTGGGCCAAGCCCGCACGGTTTTACTATTGGATGTCCTCCCCGAAAGGCCTCGTACTAATTGGGCTAGGTGGACACTTATGTACAAATGTTCCTTCCCTTGTATTACCGATGTGGTACTTGGATTGTCCCATAACAATCATCCCCACAAGCCAAGGAGCACGAACTTCGTGTCCTCTACTCGGCGATTATCTTGATCTTGCCAGACACCTTGTATCGATGGGCTTCTCGCTACAAGGATTTTTTTCATACACATAACTCTTTTTGATTTGCTTCCCAAATGCGGAACTCTCTTTGATCCGCCAAGTCCAAACGTGGATCTCTCCTGGGTCCACCAAACATATCAAACTAGGCTTTGATATCACTTGTCATACACCGGGGGTGCTCAATTAGTACGATATTGTCCGCTTTGGGCCAAGCTCGCACGTTTTTACTCTTGGATGTCCTTCCCAAAAAGCCTCGTACTAATTGGACCAGGTGAACTCTAATATAAAAAAGTTTCTTCTCTTGTATTTCCGATGTAGTATTTAGATTGTCTCATAACATTTTTAAATACTAAACAAAAAAAATTCATTTCAAATTGAATTCTTCAACATGGTATTAGTGGTACCCAAACAAATAAGATGTCAGATGATAAAACTATCGACTAAGAGGATTTTGAAGCCCAACAATGAAGATTGCGGCACCAAACGTAGCCCTACCTTTCGACAGTATAACAGGCCTGGGCCAGACCAAATGAAAGAGCGGCTACAAAAAAAGTTCCGTTGCCGGGACTTGAACCCGGGTCTTTCGGGTGAGAGCCGAATATCCTGACCAACTAGACTACAACGGAAGCTGTTGATTGAACTCACTGTTTTTGAATTGGTATTGTGTTTAGTCATACCGAAGACATGATGTTGACGTGAATACGTGATGCCCAAGCTCAGTGCGCTTTCCTCCCTACTTCCTCAACCGCAGACATGAAAATACCTTTATCCAGTATAAATAATCATACCGAAGGAAAGGACGATCCATCACGAAATTAACTCTTTAGCTTGAGCTCCTCAACAATGGCGGAGCAACAGAAGAGTGAATTCTCAGAATCAGCAGCAGCAGCCCACAAAGCCCACTGTTTGGTTGTCCCGATTCCAGGGCAAGGCCACATCAGCCCAGTCCTCCAATTCTCCAAGCGCTTAATCCCCAAACGAATCCGGGTCACCATCGCCCCGACCCGATTCATCGCCAACACCGCCACCCTCACCGGCGCCGCCGGGAGCGACATCCATCTCAGCCCCATCTCCGACGGCTACGACGAAGGCGGAATCGCTTCCGCCGAGGACGGCCAGACCTACTTCGACACGTTCCAGCGAGTGGGTTCCCAAACCCTGGCCGATCTAGTCCGTCAACAAAGGAATTCAGGCCACCCTGTCCACTGCATCGTCTACGACCCTCACCTTCCGTGGTGTCTCGACGTCGCCAAAGCCTTCGGCCTCATCGGAGTCGCCTTCTTCACTCAATCATGCGCCGTCGACGCCATATTCTCCCATGTTCATGACGGACTCCTCAATCCTCCCGTCCAAACCCCAGAAACCCTTACAATTCCTGGATTGCCGCCATTGAAGCCTCGAGATCTTCCTTCTTTCGTTCACGACGCATCGTACCCGGCCTTCCTCGCCGCCATGGTCGGTCAATTCTCCAATATTCACAATGCCGATTGGGTTCTCTGCAATTCGGTTTACGAGCTGGAAACAGAGGCGGCGGATTGGCTTTCGAAGCTCTGGCCCAATTTCAAAACAATTGGGCCGACTATACCGTCGTTTTATGCCGACAACCGATTGGTCGGCGACAAAGACTACGGTGTCAGCTTCTTCAAGCCGGAGAATGGAGCTTGCAATGATTGGCTTCGTACCAAGCCGAAAGGGTCTGTTGTGTACGTGTCATTCGGAAGCATGGCCGATTTGGGAACAGAGCAAATTGAGGAACTCTGTTTCGGGTTGAAGAATAGTAACCATTACTTCTTGTGGGTGGTGAGGGAATCCGAAGAGGGCAAGCTTCCTAAGAGGTTTAAGTCCGAAACCGCGGGGAAAGGGCTAATCGTGTCGTGGTGTTCGCAGCTGGAGGTGCTGGCGAGCGGGGTTGTGGGGTGTTTTGTGACGCATTGCGGATGGAATTCGACGATGGAGGCTCTAAGTTTGGGAGTGGCCATGGTGGCCATGCCGCGGTGGACTGACCAGACGACCAATGCTAAGTTTATAACGGATGTTTGGGGAGTGGGAGTGAGAGCTGAAGGTGAGAACGGGGTGGTGAAGAGGGAAGAGATTGAGAGATGTGTGAGGCAAGTCATGGAGGGAGAGAAAGGAGAAGAGATTAGGAAGAATGGTGAGAAGTGGAGAAAGTTGGTGCAGGAGGCTGTTAGTGAAGGTGGAAGTTCTGATAGAAACATTAACGTGTTTGCTCAAAGCTTAATACTTTCTTCCCAGAACGATGCTTAGAACTGGGGTGTACCATATTTTGTTGTATCCATTATGTTGTTCAATTGAGAAGTTTATGATTTTTGGAGAAAGAACTTATGATATGTTTTGAACGCGAAAATCTGACGACGGAGTTCAAATCAAACACTCTTTGTTGGAAGGATCTGATAATTTCATTGCTTGGAGTGGAAGAAATGAATGTTAAAAGGACGAAGTTGCAAATGATCATTCTAACATCATCTCAGTGTTCGACTCATTTCGATATTCATACATCCAAATTCCAAACAACCCCTAGCAACCATGCCATTTCCATTCTATACAGATGTAGAAAAGCAGGCTACTGTTATCAAACAATACCAGTAAAAATGCTGTCTTCGAGCCTTCCAAATAGAGAAAGGAATGTGAAATGGACGTTATACCAACCACAACCCTAAAAAGGAAAAAGAAACAGACATATGAACTTTAGATTCAGATCAAGCTATGAAGTCAAAACTACTAATGAATGGATTCTCAATCATTCCTTCGTAACTCACATTTCCAAACTAACTTTTATTCATAGTAGAGTTTACAAATACAACATTCCTTTTCAATTATGAATAGAGGTCACAACAACAATATGCAAATTTCATTTCAAGAGACAGTTCCTCTACACCCCTGGATAGAGATAATGCAAACCAGCAGAGGATGAATTAATCAGCAACACAAAAACCAGGCAGCAAAAACAAAGAAGTAAAATGAGCACACAGCAGACTTTGTCCCTAAAATTCAAGCACTACAGGGGTTTTTTACTGATAGATATCATCAAGCAGCAGTCTTCTGGTTTGGCTTGAACACGTACTTGATAAGTGACTCCTTAATCGACAACAATTCCGGGAATTCCTTCTTCAACTTCGCACCGTCCATCTCGTTGTTGCTCCTGGCGGCAACGATCACCTTCGCCTGCTCCTCGAGCGTGAAGTTCTTCCATGTGTAATTAGGGTTGATGTAGTCACGATACATTTCCAGGATTTCATTGTGGCTCACCACTCCAGGGTTGGTGAAGTTCCATATGCCGGTCAGGTTTCTCTTAGCCATCTCGATCGAGATGGGGAGAAGTTCGTCCAAGATGGTCATCGAGTTCGGAATGTTCACCACCTTGTCGTACCTAGCAATCTTCGTGATGAAGTTGCGCGGGTTGTCTAGATCAGATGAGATTGGCATTCTAACTCGCAATGTGCACACATTCTCGTAGTTCTTGAGAAGATCTTCCACCTTTTAAGTCACAACAATAGAAAGAACCCATAAATCAAAATGGATGTATGGGAAGGACCTTGAAGAGCACATCAAGATGCATTCAATTGGGAATAACGGAAATCATAATCTTTCTATGCCCGGGTCATTGGATGAGTTATTCAATGAAGGCATGAGAGCAAGAAATAGCTAATGCTTTGAATTGAAGGCAAAATGATTAGTTAATCAATAACCGGTAAATGGAATCACAAGAAATATGTACTGATCCATAGCGACTATAGTTATCGATCTTCGATCGGCAATGTCAAATAGATTCACAACAAGAAACCTTTAGATCCAATCTCCAGATGGGATCAAACCCCACATCACCATTAATCCATTGAACCAAAGCATAACCCCAAATACCAAATCGCCATTCTCGAGCTAGACGGTGAACAGAGCATACTCATTAAGCAGGGGAAAGAGAGACGAAGTGGCGGAATTTGTTACCATAGCTTTGGTCTTAGAGTAGTAAGATCCGGCGAAGTTAGGAGTGTCCTCTTCCTTGAACCCAATACCGGACCCAAGAGGGTGCTTGTCGTCGTACTCGAAGATACAGCCGGTGGCGTAGTTAATCATGACAAGGCCCTTCTCCCGGCAGACATCGGCAAGCGTCAGAGTGCCGACCACATTGGTCCGGATGGTCTCGACCTTATGGGACTCGCACCAGTCGACGTTGGGTCGGCCGGTGACGCCGGCGGCATTGAAGACGTGGGTGGGCTTGATGGTGTCGATGTCGTTCACGAGGGAGGTTCGGTTCTCCAGCCGGCCGGAGCCGTAGGTGTAATCGATGCCCTGAGACTCGCAGATTTTGCCCAGGAGGCCGCCGATCCAGCCGGTGCGGCCGTAGATGAGGAACTTGAATGGGCCGTTGCCGTTCGCCGGGTAACCCATTTCTGGAAACTGGATCTGGCTGGTCGGAGATGGTCCGGGGAGCTGACTGGGGGCCGGAGAGGGCTTTTTTGTTTTGGTTGATTGGTTGTGTGTTTTTTTTTGGGAGACGATTCTCTTTCGAGGTGTGCTATATAGAGAGGAAGAAGACGGAGTAGTGTATGGAGAAGCGGTTGGGGGAGAAGAATTGATTTGGACAGGGAAGGAAAGGAGCGGAGGAGGGAAATGGTAACTGGGAACCGGAGTTTTTTTTTTCCCCTCAACTTTTTACGTCTTTTTCCAATAAAAAATTTAGCTGTTTTTTTCAAGTAAATTTATTTGTGTGGTTAATAGTCATAAAAGTTAAAATTGATGGGGAAATTGGAGCCACCCGCTTAATTACCTCAATGATTTGGATAAAAAAAAGTTACCTCAATGATTTGTGTCCTTTTCATTTGCAAGAAGTTTTTTTTTTAAATCGTCTTGATGTAATTCTTGATTTCAGAATAACCAAGTGAGTTTTTGCAAAATATAAATTTCTAGCTGATTTGACAAAAACATTTGTCTATGAGACACTTTTAACATTTAAACTAGTTCATAGGTGGAGAGGCAATAACCTCGTCGCTAGAGTCGATATTACGTGTTGGATGTAACTTGTAAATGACTTGCTTCATTACGAGTGAAGCTTATGGGGGAACTTGTATCTCAACTGGAACTGGAAGAACGTATTATTTGATCTCACTCGAGGTAAAATTGATCATTTTGACCCAACACTAGGAGGGTCACTCGAAATTTGGAACGATCTCGTTGGTTTTGACAATATTAGTATCAATCACAAATTTCCTCATACTAGCAGAAAAATGGTGTTGTTTGTTGATGAGCTACGGGCCCCCTCAATATCCACATTAGTTGTTGGCTCGGCATCAGAGAGGCTTGTAGAACCCGACATCTGTGCATGGTAGACGTTTGTTTCTTTAAGAGTAAAGGTGGTTGGGAACAATGCAGTCAAAATCGCGCATTAAAACTTAAAATCTTACGCTTCTACGTAGGATCGTGATTTTTCCTTATAAATGTAGTCAAAATCTACGCTTTAAAACTTAAAAACGTACGATTGTACGCTTCTAGGTCACCCAACCGTTTCTAGGTAGAATCGCGCTTTTGACTGCATTGGTTGGGAACTTAAATCTCGAGATGAAAGAGGTTTTCGATATAAAAAAAACTTCGATCCGAGAGGAATCCAAATGTGTTTCTTAATCCAACTTGAAAGAGGTTTGATCCTCTTGAACCGACACCAGATGGTTGGTCTTGGTTGTAGAACTCATGACTTACAATAACCTTGCAAACCTTCGAGTTTTGAACGAATCTAGAAGAAAAATTGAAGCGAGTTTTAAGAAGTGTGTATAAACAATGAATGAGACTTTCGTGTTATGTTGGTAACGATAATCACAACAATGAAAGATATCACATGTTATAAAGGTGTTAGCAAAGTCGAGCCGTTAAAACATATATTTATTTGAACATCATTCAATGAACAATGTACGAATAAATTTTCAGATGGAACAAGTTATTTTTTCCATTTATTTCAAAATTCAAAATTCATTGGTTTCCTATTGTTGTCGTTTTTGGCAGTAACCTTCAATCTTGAATGGCAGAAACAATGGGGGATGTGTGCTGTAGGCTGTTCCTTTCTTGGTGCTCTGTCTAAATACATTCCCAGATCTGGGTCTCCTCCATCGCACTTAATACCCTGTTAGTTTCTTGGGGTGTCAATGTTTCATAAATAATGGATCCAGGAATTAGTTGTGCAGAATATAAGTAGTAAATTGTAACTTGTACGATGATGGGAAAAGACGACAGGTTATATCACATTCACGTGGCTAATATACGGTTATTGATTTTGCATCAGAGATCTGGGTAGGGATGTCAATCCAACCCGTAACCATGGGTACCCTACCCGACCGTAACCGGTCAATGAGGGTAATTACCCGCTTTGACGGGTTAAGGGGCGGGTACGGGTAATACCCGGTTTCAAAATAAAGGGTAGGGTACGGGTATGGTAATCGATAATACCCGCCCCGTTATACCCGCCCCGCTACCCAAAGGGTCAATTTCCCTTGAAAATTTTAGTTTAGCTTGAGAAATTTAGTTTAGCTACCATTATTGATGATGAAGATGTAGACGATTATTATGTTTGTGTGAATTGTAGAAGCAAGAACAATTATTATGTTTGTGTGGATTGTAGAAGCAAGAACAATTATTATGTTTTTGTTGTTTTTATTTGTGTGGATTGTTGAAGCTAGAACAATTAGAAGTATTGAGAATTTTTAATGGACAACAATATGTATGTGCATATATGTGTATAAGTTCATATTTCAGGATTCGTACCCATGGTTACCCGAATACCCGTGGTTACCCGGTGGGTAGGGTATGGTTATATAATTTTCATACCCGGTGGTTATTTGGTCGGGTATTTTAGAAGGCTCTACCCGGCGGGTTAGGAGTTGGTATAGGGTAAACCCGCACCCGACCCTACCCATTGCCATCCCTAGATCTGGGTACTGCCTTTAAGATTTTAAATTTAGCGGATCTGCACATTATAAAAAGAGATTTAAATATTTAATAGAGTATGCTATAGTAATTAATATTTATTTCTTTCTTTATTTATTTGTATGGAGAAAATATTTTTATTTATTTACATGGGGAGTCAATTATTCATTTATGGCTATAGTGTCTTCCAAGTCCTTAGATTTGGGGAAAACAATCGACTGTATCATAAAATGGTTGATCGAATGTATATTAATAATTAGACTCAGTACTTGATTATTATAAATCAAAAGAACGGTTGTTGTGATTGATCATATAATGAAAATGTCGATGTCCATAAATAAAACGACTAACCGCACTATGCAGATGTCAACCGGTTAGGGTAAGGTATTTGCATACCTCAAGTCAGTGACATAAAGATTGGTCTAAAGACAATTAACTCTCGTGATTGAACCTGAAAGGTCGTTCGAATGGCTGGCATGGTCGACATATTGATCTATACGTGGTTTATCAACGATTATCTTGATGTTCCAACATCTTTTCTTCTTCACCAAACTCAAAAAGCCACAAGAATTTGTTTATATGATTTTTAAAGATGATAAACTAATAACATAAATTGTTATTTATAGATGTTTATGTTGCTATTAACTCAAGTTAATTTGTAACAAAGTCATTGTTTTGTATTAAAATCTTTCTAGTAGTAGAAACATGTTCCAAACCTGATAAGTTAATTATCAACCAATCGACCATTTCATTTTCCTGATCCACCACTATTTTTATTTCTAATGATGCAGTATATGGAAAAGAAAATAATAACAAAAGAAAATGTTACAACAAATTAATAAAAGAGAAGAAAAGCTCACTAATTTCATTTATTCACTAAAAAAGAAAGGAAAACTCACTATCTGGGTATGAGGTCGTTCGTTTTTTGGTATGCACAAGTAAAATATCCCTATTACCTTTCTGAACCACGATTTTCCAATTTTAATATTTCAGTCCGCGCAATCAATCAGATGGTGAGATTTTCCTGAATCGCAATAAAGGACCCCAAAATATTCCCACCGACGTCCGGGAAAGCAGCGCACCCAGGTAGGGCCCGCACTTTACCGGTGGGGTCCACTTCCACCGGGTACTTCAGCAGGTGACCCTTCATCTCCGTCACCGTCTCCGCCGCAAACTGCCGCCAGTTCTGCTCTCCGATCGCCCTCACCCGCCTCACGCACTCCACGCTCTCCGGCCTCTCGAAACACTCCTCCAGCCCCCCGCCGACGTGCTCCGCCCACAGCGACTTCCGGTACCCGTAGATCTGGCCGTGCGGCCGGCTCCGCGCCGTCAGGGTGTGACGTGGCTGGTAAGCTCCCATCGCGATCTCGGTGTCACGTGTCCCTTCCAGGGACCTCTGATTGATGTTTGCCGATCCGATGATGACGTATTCGTCGTCGACGATCATTCCTTTGGAGTGGATGTAGATCATGAATCGCCGGCTCTTCTGGCTGAGCGCCTGGAGAAACCCCAAGTAAAAGTTCAATTTGGTCCCTTTAGTTATGAAAATGTACATCTTAGTCCATGCTGTTTAGGCAGGAAGCAGGACACATACCTGAGGAGTGTTTGCTGCAGCACCATTGGATTTTGATGGAGGAGCAATTTGAGTGTTTGAAGCAGCTTCTCCATCTGCCGCCTCGCGGTTACCGAGGCAGAAGAAGTTGAGGTAATCCTGGGGCTCGTACTTGGTGTCAAGTCCAACTTCCACCAGGGCTTTGTAGATGGTCTCGTACATCATCTGCATAGTCTTCTGCTGCCAGAACAGGATTCTCTGCGTCGGGGTGCTCGTGGGGACGCCTTCGGGCCACATTGGGACCAGGATATAGGCTGCGAATCGCTCGTTGGCTCGAATCTTGCTGGCGATCTTCAGGGCGATCTCCATTGGGATCAGGTTGTTGGCTCCCAAGTCTCTGTAGGAGTCCCAACCGTAGGATGAACCCAGGAAGTACTGGTTCTCGATGTAGATGAAGTTCTGTGCGGCTCGAATCGCCTTGACGTAGGCGGCGTGGATGCTCATGTCTATCAGTATGTTCTTCCCACATAGCAGATTCTGTTTTTTTTCATAAGTTTTACCCATTTGGATTGTTAGTGGTGGAAGTGAAGAGAAGGGATGGTCAAAGAAGAGGTTGAGTTTAGTTGTATAGATGAGCATTGAACTGAATGGATCACTTAACTTTGATTTATTACTTTTTCTAAGTTCCGACCAACTAATGTAGAAGAAATTAGTTGAAAGGACTTACTTTGCTAGTTGCATCTCTTGGTTCATCAGGGAAGCCTTTCACTGAAGTGGAATCAATGGAGCGGAATACCTTCACAATTTTCAGGGGAAAGGAGAAAAGAAACAATCAGCCAGAGAAAAAGGAGGGAATCTGAAAACCTGACCAACACGACACAGTTATCATGATGTACTAACCTGAACATTCCAGGTCTCAGGATCATTCTCAGTCAAGCAAGTAACATCAAAAATCCCCAGGATCTCAGAAATCCTCTCGAGCTTCAACAACGCATCATCAGCCGAATGTTTCAGTTTCTGGATTCCCCGGGGCTTGGAGGCTTTCAGCCATCGCTCCTCGAAGTTGGTCAGGACATCGTAAGCCGCCGGACCATCGATCTTGCTGTGCAGATCATGCCACGGCTCCCTCGGACACCCAGCAGGATCCTGGTAAAAAATAAATACCAAGCACCAACATTACTTTAAGCCTCAACTCAGTTCCTCCTAAGCTCCCTAAACCCAAAATTTTACCAGGAAAGTAGGGTTGTGGAAGTCATCTTTGTGGATCGTATGGCTAGTCCTGAAAAGGGAGTGGTCCTGAGTATCATACCGTCCATTGCATAAATCCAGACCTCCTACGAAAGCTACAATCTTCCTTCTGTTTTGCCCTGCATCTGCATCTATGATCACTGTCTTCTGATGGTGAGTGTAGATCGTCCCAACTTCCTAAAACTCACAAGAATCCAACATTCAGAACGGGCTACTTAATGTTCAGCTCTAATCTTGTCTTGATCACAAAAAAAATGTTCCACAAATCGGAAACCTGTTTCTTGATGAAACTGTGTCCTTTCCCTGCAGACCTCGGACAAAGCAGAACTTGGACCGAGGAATGCTTGAAGAATCGTCGAGTTTCTTCATCTCCAGTGTTCATCACTCCTTCCTACAAACAAACAATGTCAGATCACAGACAGAAGACCATTCGATTCAATTGTTGGCAAAAACCGGTTCTGTTCTTACCGTTTTGTAGCCCAAGATGCTTCTAGAAGTAGGATCATCCCAAACAAGGAGCAAAACCCTGACACCTTCCTGAGACTTAGTCTTGAGAAGCTCTCCCAATGTACAGTCCATCTCACCTTTGCCCTTCCTAACCAACCGTACCTTATGATACACGGACCAACCGGTTATATAAACCAACCGCCTGGCCTGACTAATGGCCTGAAACACATCCTCCCAACAGCTCCTATGCTCATATTGAACTCTCCCACCATCTCCAACTCTCAATTCTGGCAAGCAACCGCCTTCATCCACATGAGCATCCTGATACAGATTCACCTTCCCGCCCTTTCTCATCGGGAAATAAGTCCCCGGGACACCCTCGTAATCGGGCCGAGACCTCACCCCAAAATTGTACATTTCCATTTGCTCAATGGGTATGAATTGGATCGACAATGTCAATGTCGCCCCTTCCTTGCAGGGCTTCCCGTTTGCCCCTAGAATCGGGTAAGAACCTTCGATGACATTCCTGTTCCAGAGCTCCTCGACAGGGATCCCTACAGCTCCCATGACCTGTATCAGTGATAGGTAATTATTTACTTATAATAGTTACCATCATCGTTATCAAAGGATATTCTGTATGAACTTTTTAATGTATTGATTCGGTCTAACCTGCGACCCAACGACATCGTTGTCCTTGACCACGAAGTGGACCTCTGAGGCGGAATGTGCGACGGGGACGCTGAAGTGCTGCATCCAGACGGGGTTCTCGCTGTTGTCGATGACGAATGTTCTGGCGATCACGGCGCCGGAGATGGAAACGGTGACGTATGGGTCGCTGGTGATCTTGGTGGCGCCGGATTGGGCCTTCAGAGGGAGGATTGAGAACATGTCGCCCAAGGTTTTGTGGAACATGTCCAAATTGGGGAGGTTGTTGCCTTGTTTGACCCAGATGTCGAGATTCCCGTGTAGGAGAAGGACTTTGAGGTTACCTTTGCTGGTCTTGAACGGGACTACTTGCTGCCCGCCGTGAACTGAGCCGCCGAAAGAGCTGACGTGAGGGATGACGCTGTTCGCCATTTTTTTTTCTTCCGGTGATGGTCAACTCAGTTGAACTGAATTCGAAGTGGGTAATGGAAAAGATTGAAACTTTCGGAATCCCTGAGGGCAGATGATTGATTGCTTGATTACCCAGAAGTTTATAGTGAAGGGAATTGCCGGCAGGATCAGTTTACGGGAGGAAGGAAACAGAGTTTGTTAGAAGGGAATCGCCGGAGGAGGGCGGAGAAACTGAAGGAGTACACGCGGAAAGGAGAATAAGGATTTCCGAAGGGGGAAACAGGGGAGCGTTCACAATGTGGAATTATTAGGAAGGGGGTTTTGCTGGAGGAGCAGAGGTGGGATGAGAACAGGGGATTCTTGGAGTAATCAAGAAGTCGTTGAGCTAGATGATGGAACAAGGAGGAGAAGAAGGCAGAGAGGAAGAAAGGGATGGGTTTTTTTATTGGATGGTAGGCGAGAGAAACGGAAGATTGCAGTGTAGATGAAGACAGTAACGGTCGTTAGAGGGAGAGATTTTTTTTTATTAAAAAGAAGGGATGGAGAGCCAATGGGAAGGAAGAAGGAAGTTGAGCTTTCAGGTCCATGGAGTCAAAGGAGACTTCTGAATTGATCGGCGTGTTTGGGTTCCGGGAAAATTCAATGTGTTTGTGATCTGCAGGGGTTCTAACTCTAATTAATTCATAAAACAAAAAAAGTGATATCTATTGGAGGGTTTGACGAGATCAGGATGGAGGGATGGAGGTGGCGCAGCCATGGAGTTAATTACATGGAGGGTTGTTGATAAGCTTTCTGGGTTTTGTGACTTTGTCGGATTTGATGGGCGGAGTGCAAAACTGCAAATCATTGAACCCATCAACTCAATCCAACCTGATTCAATTCTACTGATTCAAATGGTTTCCTATTGCCACAAATCGTAAGTTACTTTTGTTATCCTTATTATTATTCATTGTAATCATATATTTTATAGATAGTTGCAAAATTATGAATGATAATTAGACCAAAACTTGTTTTATTGGAATCATTTATCATAATTTCTAACATTGATCAACCGATCTAAACCAATAATCTATAGTGATCTATTGTTTTGATTCAAAACCTAAAATGTTGAGCAAATTAGGATTTTGTCTAGCACTATCGCTGATTTTCAACCTGAAAGTCTTAAATTCGAATATTTTAAGTAGCACTTATAATAAAAACAAACCTTTCAGGTCAAACAATTTATAAGTTTGTGATACAAGTTTTATAACTCGATTGGTTTATACACCTTTTCTTTTTTTACAAATTGGTTTTATACACCTCTATGTCTAGCTTTAGATAAAATTTCACCAATGATAAAAAAAAATGGTGGTGGAAGTCTGGAAGACACTATGACTACCATCTAGATGGTCTTGAGACATTTGAGAGGTGGTTGAACTTTTGACGTCCAACTTGCAAGGTGGTGTATGTCTATTGCGGACCCTTTCTTAAATTAATTATTTTCATAACAATCAGGGGATTGTTTAGTTGACGGGAAAATGGCAGGTAAATAAAGTGTGAAATTGAACCCAAACTAATATAATTTCTTTCCGTTAATAATGGCAGAAAAAATACTTGTTACAATACGAACAACTCTCTTATCGTTGATTCAATGGCTAGTCGATCAGTACCTCTTTTTCTTTTTATCTAAAATCGCTTTATTTTTGTATGTTGTATCTACTTTTCTCTTTTGGGATCTATGACAACCACACACAAAAAGAAAAACTTGGCCTATATGTTTGCCTTTACTCTTGTCCAATTAGCTCCAATTCTTGGTAACGAACCATGTTAATTGCCTTTGGGCTGTGACGTGGTCGACTACGCCCAACGACTAAAGAGGACCAGCCCGTAATACCATTTACATGTTGGGGCTTGGGCTCATTTCGCGGTCAATTATTTTATTAAGTGGGCTCGCGTATTGGGCCTTTCCCGGCCCGTCATTATAGTGAGAGGCTATGCGAAAGTAAAACTTGCACAAGCTGGACCCAATTGAACACAAGGCAGCCAGTTGTGGGCTTCTCCTCTCCTTCAAAAATTTTCTTTGGTATCATACCCAAATTGGAGTGGATTGGAAGGCAACATACATGTTAACATTTTGAGTGTTGATTCCCATACTTCTGTTTCTTTTAATTTCAGATCAGATGCACCAAAGAAAAGTAAAATGTAGCAGAAAACAGCTATATACTTATTAGAAATTAGTAAATGTATCATGTATCGTATCAAATATAATCAATCATCAACATGTGTGTTTCTTTTATACATTCGCAACATTAACACGTGTTAGCTATCGAGTGATTAATGTGAAACAAAAAGTCACGATTATGAAACTCAAAGATTTCCCTCTATATCTCCATTTATACATTCATAGAGACACCGTCTATTTATATAGCTGAGCTCTTCAGTTGGCTGATCATGATTTGGTCGATCTCTCTACCTCTTCCGCTTGGACTTGAGGGAGGTGACAGATTGAGAGGTGCTGTGCCAGTTTCGTTTCCTTTGGTTGATGAACCAGTTGTTTATCTGCTTCAGCTGCAGCCCCGTCTCCTCCACTAGCTTCGCCTTGTCATCCTCCTGCTCCATATACCACAACAGTAAAAAATCGACAATGCAAGAAAGTAAACTAAGTGGTAGAAGTTTTCCAACACATACTTTTGAAGCAGACTATAACGTGAAAGGAAAAAGGTAGCTTACGGTTGGGTAAGGCCACTTGGAGTGTTGCTGCCACCAGTTCTTGAGGACGGTGGTGGTGTCTCCGGGCAACTTGCCAGCTCTCCTCTTCCTCAGGATCTCTTCCCTCACATCCTCGATTCTCGACTTGAACCCTTGCTTCAGCTCGATCTTCAGCTCCTGACGAACCCTCTCCATCAGCGACCTCTCCGACTCCGTTGGAAGGAGAGGGCCGAACCCCATCATCATGTCATGCGCATCGGCGGCGCTGCTGCTACTACTCCCCATCATTCCTCCGCCGCCGCCGCCGCCGGGTTGGTCGAGTGAGAAGTCCATCTGAAGATCGTCCTCGTCGTCCGACATTGTCGCCCCAGTCCCTTCTCCTAGGCTCACTCCTGCACAAAACAACGTAACCATGCACAAGGTTTAACACCAACAGTGCCCATTATTGCAAAATATATATATATATAGGTCTAGAGTTTTGTATTAATTACAGCAATGATGCAGCAAGTGACTTGTTAATGAAGGTGAATCTGTGCAGGATTAGGATCGGCTTTCATGGAAGACGACAAAATGGGGTCTAAAGTACGTGTGGATTAGGGCGACAGCAACAGGCAACAAGTGGAGACAAAAACCAACAACTTCTTTCACTCCCAACCATTATTGTATTGTATTAGAGCTAGCTCTCCATTAACGAGGCCACCGAAAGCAGGCAACCTCTTTTGTTTTCGTGTTTAATTAAAGCCAACCATTATCACCACCCTAAGCACATCGACCAGGATTAAGATTTAAGGGTTTCTACCCTACAACTACATATGACTTGGTACTAGAGGTTATGGCAATTTGGCAGTCATCAGCTAGGTGATTAATGAAAGGGAAAACAAGTAATAGTTTTGGTGTGTATCTATGCATGCACTCCACAAACAAAATTATTGTATTGTGATATATAACTCGAGTTGTTATTTTTGTAATCATGTAACTGGATATTTTTTCTATTAAAATTGTTGCAATGTACTAGTGAATCTACATTGTTTTCTATACATATCTTTCCGCGTCAAAATTTAGATTTTTGTCACTGATCTAGCAAAGATTGCAGCACGCTCAGGTACGCATCTACATGAAATAACAACTAATGTTACTGTTAATGTTGGATAAGGGGATATATGTTTGTCTTGTAGTTATGTGATATTTAAGGGATTCGAACCTGTAAATAATCCAATTTCAAAACTAGTGATGGTATCGCTAGACCAAATCATTGTTCGCTTCCCAACTAGTGTTATTGGTTACCGAGATTCTTACACCAAACGTTTCGATAAAGAATTACAAAAATCAAGCAAAAAGCGATGATTTTCTATCTTCGTTTTTAGCGATATATATGATTATTAATAACATACCATATTTTGATTATTAATCATACTAGACTAATTAAGATAAGGTGATGGGTTCCACCCCCAATAATCCATGACCTAAATATTATTGAGAATGACCATTAAATATGTAAGACAGATTAATCAATAACAATTAGTTGTGAAAAGCGAAGCTAATTAGTTCGAAGATGACTAATATATGTGTGGTTTGTGTGTAGAGTTGAAGGTCCACCTAATAGAGAGAAGCAAGCAACATACTTCTCTACTCTACCCCCAAAACAATTAAATCAAAATAACGTCATCCCACCAATAATTATACAAATGGAGCCAATTGCCCCCGACCTAATCGGTGGTTGAGACGCTAACCACCGGTACCGGTGGTTGCGGCAATGGTCGGCGGCGGTTGCTAGCAAGATGTGAGAGAGCCTACCTATAGAGAAAGAAAGATGGAAGGAGGAAGATACATCTCATTCTGGAGGCCATTAGTCATTTGTCACCGATTATGACTAACCTAAAAAACACGGCTCTAACTACTTTATACACCAAATTCAGCTTTGTTTCCTATTGGTCCGCTTGGGTCCTACATTTTCCATATCTTCCACCACCTAGTAACCACACATTTTAATTCCCTTAAAAAAATTACAAATCTCTAGGGGGAAAAAAATCTTATGATTAGCCCTAACAAGCATGATACAATAGTGTGATTAACGTATTTACGGATCGCTCTACACATTTTCAGTCGAAGCAGGTTGCAATCGATACATACGACGAACTACACACATTCCCGCTTATAAAACAGCTTCGTATAACATTTTTTATTTTTACAAAAATACCATCTCAATATAATGAATGAGAGAACACATCAAAGAACGATCCAAATCCAATAATACCACGAATTAACCTCGCATCAGCGAAATAGACTGATTCAGTTTAAACGTAGGATAGAAATAGATACCTACAGCTAGCTAGCAAGGGTTTAGCGCATAATTAAGAATCCGTAATTAAGGAGAGTAGTGTTAGTTAGTTTACCGGTGAGAGAGTGGAAGGAGGTTTCGATTTCACGGCAGGCCATGACGGCCTCGACGGCGTGAACTCGGACGTGCTGCTGCAGCTGGTCTTTGAACCCACACAGCACTATCAAGTACTGCGCCTGTACGTTCTCGTCACAATCCGTTAATTAATTAGCTGTTAACAACAATTACGAACGGTGCCGGGGAAATTAAAGAAGAAAGACGAGAACTAATTAAGTACCAAGAAGTTGTCGAGGTCCTGCCTGTCGTGAGGGGAAAGGCCACCGGCGGCAGCGGCGGCGGCGTAGGAGCGGAGGAGGTCGGAGGCGTGGGAGAGCTGGGCGTCGATGAGCGGGAGCTGGTCGATTGGGGTGGCCACTCGCAGGCACGCCACGTGTGCCGACAGTAGCTGCTCGTACAGCGGGTGTGTCGCTATCTCCGCCTTCAGCTGCCGGTTGCTCTGCTCCCCTCCTCCGCCTCCGCCGCCGACGCACAATTCCGCACCTCCGCCCATCATTCCCAAGCTCGGCTCTTGCATTTTTTTTCTTTTTTTTCTTTGTTTATTTTCTTTGAGGAGCCTGATTAAGAAGGCTAGAGAGAGAGAGAGTGAGAGAGAGAGAGGGTATATATTGGGATCTGGGCTAAACACGCAGCTTTATTATGTTTCTGTTGAGAAATGAAGAGAGAAGGAGAGAGGGGTTTTTGTTTTTTTAAAAAAAAAGATTGTGTTGAAAGAGAGGGTTCAGGGGAAGGAGGGAGCAGCTATGGAATCATTGCTACGAAAGGAGAGCCCAAGAAGACAACACAACAGCAGAGAAGGAAAGAGAGAGAGATTATAATTCAGAAGAAAGAAAGAAAGAAAGAAAAAGAAGGAGAAAAAAAAAAGCTGCTTCTTGGACTCTTGACATATTTTCTTCCCCCTTCCAAACCTTTTTGTTATAATAATAATAATTATTATTTTCTTTCTCTCTCTCCTTGTATATGGTGTTTGGTTGCTTAACATTTGGATTAAATATTTCTATTTTATTGTTAATACTCGGACAATTTGGTTTATCATCCGATGTTGGGACGATTATGTTTCAACGTTGTCATATCGCATTTCTTATATGTTTTTATCATTAGATTGAGAGCTTTGTTCTTCTGTAAATTATGTTAATGCAACTAGTTGGGACGTGTAATGATGGATTTATTGATATCCTCTGGATCAAGTATGCTAATGTAATTGTAACTTGCATGCAGTTTTTTATGAGTAGATAAATTTTATTCCAGTAAAAAGTATAATGCGCGCACCTACAAATCGGTAGGACTTCGAAATATACGTGAAACAAAAAGAAGAGGATATCATGATAAACACCAAACTCTACTTCACTTTTAAGTGATTTAACAAAAAGTAATTGTATAAAAAATAGATAACGGGGGATTGCTTAGCAAAAAACTAGATAAATATTTAATATCTCAAGAGCATGAGAAGAATTTGACTAGCCATCGACGATTCATAATATAGGACCCAATAATCTACTCAAAATTTTCACTCTAAATAGATCCTTTCATTTATAAAGTAGTGTTTTTGTTCAAAATATTATCACACACTAAACCACTAACCTATCAATAATGCAATACAATTAAAGTTAATAGTGAGGAAAATGTTTGGTCTGATTGTCCATCTAAATATCAGAGGTTCGAATTCCGTAATGAACTTTCCCTATTCTGCATCATACGTTCCGTTAGTAGCATACGAGAAAAACATATATATAGCTAGGTTACACAACAAATGATATCAACCATTCTTCCATGAGATGAATATTCTTCATGCATGTATCAAATCCCTAACTATGGTTCTACTAGCTAGCTAGCTAGAACCACACAAGCCATCTTTTGAGTTTAGGTTATTGCTAATGATCATCAAATGCATGGTCATGATGATCCCCATATAATAATATCCATTACCCAAAATCCAAACTAAATAGTGAAATAAAATCAGAAATTAAGTTAATATGGTTTCAATTAGTTTGTATGAAGGGTAATGTGTCTACGTCGACGTGGATGTCCTGTACCTTTCTTATCTCCACTACTCCAATCCAACGCCCCCAAACTCTTCTCATTCGCACAATATATACTCATCAATCTCTCCTTTTCCCTGCAAAAATCCAATCCCCTCTTTTGTCCCTCCTCATCTCTCCCCTTTGGCTTTAGTTGAGGAGTACAACCAATCACATACAAAACTGAATGCCCACTTTGATGTGATTTCCCAAGGATCTTTCCCCTTCAAGTTCCTCCAATAGTTCATATTGTAAGAAATTACATATAGCTCCCCAATGAATCACAAACCCTTTGGAACTCGTAATTCAGGAGAATGGAACACTGAATTACTTTTAAAAAAAAATTCATGTGAGTTTTTTTATCTCGTGTTAATACTATTTCTAGACATGCACCAAGTTGGCAAGATGAAAAGGCGAGACTCTAATAATCACAAACTTCAAGAATCGATAGAAAACATCTTGAGCTATATTAGTAGTACCAACACGAAGTTGACTATCACCGTAATCAGGATATATTTACTAAATTTTAATTGACTTCTAACTGAATACTTAATTTACAAGCTGTACATTTATCTTGTTAATGTATGAATCGAAGCGAAAACATAATTATTTTCTCCCAAAAGTCATGGAAAGGAAATTTACCAACACATGGTCTTAAATAAATAAAAGAAGGCCCAAAGGAAAGGAGACGACCACTCTTTCGTCACATTTTGCCCCCTTTTTCTTTAATGATAAGCATGAATCTTTGGAATTAGGATCTAAAGAAAGATTTTTCTATCTTGTAACAAATGTAAAAGAGTTGGCGATAAGACAAATTACCCCAGGGATGAGTTAGGGTGGTTATTCAATTTTAAGTAATCATGGTGGCTACTAGCATCTATACCCTTCATTATCCTTATTTCATCCTATTATTAAATTGACGGTGAAGATTAGATGAAGGGTAATTTTGAAAATGAAAAATATACCACACCAGATTTCTATCCTTTAAATAATTAATTTCTATATATTATAGCCAAACCCTAATCCCTCACTCTCCTCAACGAGACATGCCCGCCCGCCCGGGACGCGTTAGGATGATTACTCAAAATTGAGTAATCACCATGGCTACTAAAATCTAGACCCTTTATTATCTATATTTTATTCTAATTTTAAATTGACGGTGAAGATTAGATTAAGGGTAATTTTGAGAATAAAAATAATACCACACCTGATTTCTATCCTTTAAAATATTAATTTCTATATATTATACCTAAACCTACTCCAACCCTATTCTATATCGCCGTCAACACCTATCCTGCCTCCTGCCCTCCCACTGCCGGCAGCCACCCTCCCTCCGGCTACCCTCTCCACCTTTGCGGGCAACCCCTCTCTCTCTCTCTCTCACTCACGAGATGGCGGTTGGAGGGGTTAGATAGATGGTGATGCCGTGCCGGCAATATGCTCCGGCCCTAGGTCAGCCTTCCCCCTCCCTCTCTCTCTATATTTGCTCTGGCCATTCCGCACGCTTGCTTGTGCGAGGATTGGTATGTATTTTTTGGGGATTGGTATATATATATTTTTTGGTATTGTTTTGTTTTGGTATTGATTTTGTCGCATTGTATTATTTTTGTCGCAATGGTATTATTTTTATTGTATTGGTATTGATTTTGTCGCAATGGTATTATTATTGTCGCAATGGTATTACTTTTGTCGCAATGGTATTGTTTTTATCGCATTGGTATTGATTTTGTCGCAATGGTATTATTTTTGTCGCATTGGTATTGGTGTTTTTGTGGAACGGTAGTGTTTTCATTTCTCGAATGGTATTGGTGTTTTGTGCAATGGTAGTGTTTTGTAATGGATTGGTATTGTTTTATTGTTGCAGTGGTATTAGTTCGACAGAACGAAATCAATGGAAAGATTGAGAAAAAGAAGGAAGAGGCATCTGGCTGAAGATTGTGGAAGTGAGAGAAAGAGAGAGAAAATTATAGTTAATATAATTTTGTAATTTCCTAAAATGTAATTTATTAAAAAATATAATTAATAATTTTTTTGTTATACCCAATCTGCCCTTAGTAACCACGGTGATTACTAATTTATAGTAATCACCGTAACCTGTCCCCCGCCCGCCCCTACCCGGCTGCGGCGAACCCATCGACGAATCACCAGGGGGAGATGGCGAGGAAGCCTTTTCACTATTGCCCCGACCACCAACCCCTCCCCTTACCCTCATCACCTTTCTCTTTTAAGCCTTCTGTTCCTCCTGCTTCCATGCTCTGTTCACCCCTGTCAGCCAACGAGGTAGCTTCATTTCCATACCCCTCTCTCTCTTTCTCTCTACTCGCTGCTCTCTCTCTCTCTGCTCTCTCTCTACCATCACAACATACATACCAAATAGACATATTGGTAGTTTTCGTTATGGATTCAATGTGCAATGGTATAGATTGTTTATATTGGTAGTTTTCGTGTAATGGTATATATTTATTTCTGCAATGGTATTGATTGTTTATGGTATAGATTATTTATATTGGTAGTTTTTGTGTAATAGTATAGATTTATTTGTACAATGGTATTGATTGTTTATGGTATAGATAGTTTATATTGGTAGTTTTCGTGTAATGGTATAAATTTATTTCTGCAATGGTAGTTTTCGTGTAATGGTATAGATTTATTTCTACAATGGTATTGATATTTTTCAAAGTGGTAGTGTTTATCTAATGGATTGGTACTGATTACGTTTTTTTTTTTTTTTTTTGCAGAAAGATTGAGAAAAATATGGAAAGGAAATCTGGCTGGAGATTACGGAAGTGAAAGAAAGAGAGAATTTTAATTAATAGATTTTTGTAACTACCTTAAATGTAATTTATTAAAAAATTAATTAATATAATTTATTTTTCCATACCCAATTTACCCTTAGTAACCACGGTGATTACTACTTTGTAGTAATCACCGTAACCTGTCCCAATTACCCCACCACCACTACAAGGATTACAAAATGATTAACTGATAATAATGGATGATTTGCGCATATTTTAAAAAAAAAATCTCATCTAACCATTTAATTAATTATATTATCTGTTTTCCTAGTACGCTAGCTCGATTGTTTGCCTTGTAAGAAAGTCGGCTGGGCAACGAACGAGTTCAGCTGTCTCTTTTAGGAAGAAAGAAAGAAAGAAGGCAAGGGTTCAGCTGTCGGTTGCCGCTTTCTTTCCCTGTTTCCCAATACTATTAAATGAAGTGCTAACAACAGCTGATTTGGTAGGTGCTGACTTTTATTTACTCCCAAACTGAAATGTGTGGCTTTTGTGTATTATTATTAGTTGTAGGCAATGGACGGTTCAGTCGTAGATAAGTTGGGTTGGACCGGTTGGTTTGACTTGATGGAAACCGGAGCTAGTGGGTTCATCAAACAACTAACCCAACCAATTGGAAAGAGAATTGAAAACCAAACGGTGATCATGTTGGTCATATTAGGGTCCATACTTCATATGATTCTGGGATATGTTTTGATGGGCACACGGCGGGATTGGGCGGCCGACGTAGGGAAGTGGGCTGTTGGGGTTGGGTTTATTAGAGTTTAGGAATAAGAAGAGGTCTCTACGAGGCCCAGTCGGTTAGGTTAGGAGGAGTAGGAGTCCGGGTAGTATTAGGTTTACGTATTAGGTTTATTTCTCATATAAATATGTAAGTTCGGCATTAGTTCCGGTTATCAAAGAATAAAACTACAAGGTTTATCGACGCCCAAGTCGTTCTCCCGTTCGTGAGTTACGAGCAAACCCTAGGAACGTGGGTTACGTTCCCATCATGTTTGTTGTT